GAGGTGGGCGTGCGGGGAGGGGGGGGTGGGGGGGGGGTGGAAATCTGTGAAAATGGCTTGTCTAAAAACAAAAAAACAATAATTATAAAACCCAATGAATCTTAATTATAGAAGGTGACTCACCTGCTCAGCCGACAAAGGCTTCAGCCGTGGACAAGTACCACCTTGGTCCCAATCACCTCCTTCAAAATGCCTAGGCGATTGTGTCCGAAAGAATTTGATGGCACCTGGTCGCATATTCTTTGCAACGTACTTTACCTACAATGGACACATGAAGATAGTCCACAAAAATAAGAAGAAGAACAGGACTATGGATAGCCAGCATTAATGAACTCCAGAGAGCCTAATTGTTCAATGCGCAATAGATGAGCGCTACGAGGATCAATTGTTTTAATGTCTATAAAGTTGGATAATTACGAGTGTACTCAAAGCTATATGTTCTTAATCTTCAACAAGAGAAGAAGCATACCATGTGCTTCAAAACCATATCAAGGCCCGCATCAGGAGAGACTGGAGGAATCACAGGCTGACCATTTTCAAAGAAAAGCATTGGTGACTTAACAGGGTCAAATTTTGAAGGAGCCCACCACCTGTTTATTGGAAATAAACAGTCAATAACATCTTCCATGTTGAAAGTGTTGTATATATCAAGTATCAGCTATAGCCAAAGAGTTAAGAAATGCATTGATACCCTCATATCATAACTTCATAAGTGACTGAAATACTCTATGGCAGATGAAAAGAACAACAAAATTACCAGTGTCCTGTGTTGAAAATTAGAATGTCATGAAAGCTCGGAGCATTTGCCCATGTTCCTTCTGGAATGTCAACGTCTACTCTGTAACCTTCTTTATACCCAAGAGCTTCCAACACACTGCCATTGGCATTGGCCGACCACCTGCCAAAAGAGTAATGTTATGCAACTTTAGAATGCATATTTTTTTCACATAGAATGGAATCTCGAAACAACTAATAGGCAAATGCATTGTAAATTCAATTCCTCTAGAACCACAAAAAAAAAAAAAAAAAAAAAAAAAAAAAAAAAAAAAAAAAAAAAAAAAAAAAAAAAAAAAAAAATAAATTTAAAAAACAAACCCTTAAAAAAAAAAAAAAAAAAAAAAAAAAAAAAAAAAAAAGAAAGTAATAGCAGAATGTAAGCAGTACTGAATCTGAAAATCACAGTGCAATAACAAAAATCGCTCACCTACCTACCATATCGCGCCAAAAGGTTGGTTCGATGATATGCAACGGTAAGATTATAGCGGAGAAATGTAAACCCACGATCAGCACCCACGGGCCTCCACTTCTTCACTTCACTCGACACGCTTTTTAGAGAGCAGAAAAGGGAAACAAACATATTCCTGTTCAAGGAATCGCCAATAAACCCTGCACTGCACAAAATTTATGAGTTCTAATTACAGCACACTCGTACCACAAATCGAAATAGCTAAACTTGAAGCTTGAATTTTGTTCTCCAAATCTACGACTACTTCTGCTTAGACAATCACGCAAAACAGTAAAAGAAAAAAAAATCAGACTAATTAAAGATTGAAGCTTTCAGACTTTGTTCTCAAAATATACTACTAAATCTGCTGAGACAAAAATAAATTAAACAAACTAAAGACTGAAGCTTAGAAACTTTGTTCTTGAGATCTGATGCCGAATCCGCAAATACAAAGACAAATCCTAGAGGCTAGATCAAAACAATCATATGTTCCAACAATGCCTTGAGTAGAAGAATTTTAGAGCTCAATTTAAGAGAAATTACCAATGCTGGTGTCCCTGTAAGTGCGAAGGAAGCTGATCGGATCAAACGGCGGGAGTTCACATTGCGTGGGTTTCCACCGCCACTTGATGAGATCGCGAGCGTTGGATTTGTCGCCAGAGATGCAGTTCCAGCCCTTGAAGATCTCCTTGCAAGTGTTGTCGTACCTTGCCGATCCGGCGCTCGGGTCGTAGATCCACGTTCCGTCGGAGTAGTCGCAAGAACCGGTCGGAATCCCCGGCTGGTCGGACGCTTCGGCTTTGTGGAATTGGTTGGATGTCGTTTCTCCGTCGATGCTCTGAAATTGGATGCTCTGAGGAGACTGTGAAGGAATGGAAGTCTTTCTGATGAGAGAGAGAACGAAGAAGACGGAGATAAAGCAGAGGAGAGAGAGAAAGGGGAAGAGAGGGACTTTCTTCGTCTGGTGTTGGTGGGAGAGAGCGTGGTCTCTCGCGGCCATGGCATCCAGTGCAATGGACAAGACAAGGTCGGCGCACGTTAGCCCAGTCCCGACTTTATACATTTACATTTCGTAAGTAAAGTTTTTTTTATTGACAAACTCTTGTTTATTTCGAAAATTATAAGGATAAAAAACTAATAATAATAGTAATGGTAATAATAAAACAAAGCAAATTAATAATTTGTTTTTCTCATTAAAAAATTAATAATTTATTTCAAATTCCTCCATGATTAAATTGGATATAACTTCTCGTATTTATTTCTACGGAATAGTCTTAAATATTGTTTATCATGATTTTTTTTTTTTTTTTTGCTGAAAGCTTATTTTATTTTATTTAGGGGATGCTGTTACATTAATCCAAACAAAGTATTTCTTCAGAGCCAAAAAATTTTTTTTTTTTCTTCTTTTCTCCCTCATCTTTTCTATTTTCTCCGTCTCATCCACATCTCCTGTGGACTTTGATGCAAACTCGTTCCTGTGGCTGTGAGTAGTGTCTTATTTTATGCTTTAGAAATCTAGGGAGAGAGAGTAAAGGGAAGCTTTGAAGCAACATTTGTGGAGCTTCTCAAGACCAGAAAATGGAACAAATGGGAGAGAGGAAGGCCTTGTTCTGTTGAAAGATATGATCACACGTAAACAGCAAAGTTTTTTTTTTTTTTTTTTTTTTTTGTAAGGGCTGAAAATTTCAGTAAAAAGATCGTGTCCTCTACAATCGGACGTCTTTTTAGTCCAGAAAAATGTCACGTCCTCTATGTGTACAAATTTGTGTCGTTTACTTCAAGAATTATGTGTACTCAAAAGTCTGTAGTCTGTCGTCATCATTTTCCATGGCAAAACAGAAAACGACATGTTGTAAAGTGTTGTTAAGAGTTTGATGTCTACTAAGTCGAATATACAACTCTTAACAAATTTTACTTGTAGCCCTGAGAACATGTCGTTCAGCTCGACGAACAGTGTCATTAATCCTTATTTTTCATTAACTATTTTCTTCTATTGTTTTGCTTTTTGTCTTTATTATTATTATTATTATTATTATTATTATTATTATTTTGACAACTTAGAAACCTGAGAGGTTGTTCTTTTATGGTGTAACTTAAATATAATTTTTAAATTAAATTTGAATTATAATTTGAGTTAAAATTATAACTTAAATAAAGTTGAATAAAATTAGAACTTAAGGGCTTGTTCTTTTGAGTGAAAAACTCAAAAAAATACAACTCAAGTTACAACTTTATTCGAGTTCATGTTCTTTTAAGTTTAAACTCAAGTTTAAACTCGAGTTCAAGTTTCTCCTTCAACTCGAGTTCAGAAACTCGAGCTCAAATTAATGAACAATATTTTTTCTATTTTTAAAAATGTTATAACTTTTTCGTTTTAATTCTGATTGAAATGATTTTTTTTTATGCGTTGACAACGAAAAGACGAATAAAACCCGACCCATATACCCTATTAAAATTTTTCATCAACATTGAGTTTTTATTAAAATACTGTCTAAATACAAATTCAAGTTTTGACTTACTCAAACACAAACTCAAAAAGATTCTTATCTCAAACTATAACTCAAATGTACAAAACCAAACACAAACTCAAATTACAAGTTCAATTCAAGTTATAACTCAAGAATTATACTCAAGTTAAACTCCAAAAGAACAAGCCCTAAAAGAACGTAAACTTAAATAAAGTTGTAACTTGAGTTTAAATATATATATATATTCATAGACTTGCCCGAGTTTTCCCTCTACCTTGGAAACAGCTCATAGATATGTATTCTCAATTTAAGATGAAATGACGAAAAGAATTATTCATGACAGATCAAAAACAGGCAGCTATTTTAGGACGGAAAGTACCAATTCTAAAGTATACGCGGTGAAGGAAGCAAATTCATGTGAAATTCACTTCCTTGATTAACAAATACACTGATCAAACATCTACTGTCTACTAATTTTGACACAAAACGAGACTGTGATTTCCATTTCATATGAACTTACTTACCCTTTGGGCAGAAAGATGCGTAGGCCTTGGTTTTCGCCTAAAAACTGAAAGGGTGATGAAGCGCACAACGAATCTCATTGAAATGATTTGAGATGAAAAACTTGGCAGGCGGGTTTATAGGACCTCTTGGTTGAAGCCTGTTCAAACTTCTTTGAGGCTGCTTCATTATCTTCCAAGCTGTTTTGGAGAAAAAACCTTATCCACCAAGAGGAGCTTCTCAACTTGGCCTGCAGAAAGTTAAAAGTACCCCACCGTTATTCCCCTGAAGTAAACTCTCTAAATTCTTATGAACTGAGGAAGCAACATTGATCAAGTGAAAACTATCACTGAGATGGTCAGGAAACAAAAATAATCAACACGCTTGTTCTTTCTTATGAAACAATTAATGACATGGAGTAACAAACAACGATGGCATCAAGTAAGATAGTGATGATGTATCATGGTAATCTTACAAAACAACTGTCACTTACTGGACGGCCAAACTTTGAAAGCTCTGCGACTTTAGCTCTATTCTGACCGGGATAACCTACCCAAGTAATGACAAGTCCATAATTTCCAAATGTTAGTTACTCCATCAAAATAAATACAATAAACAAAAAGAACATCTAGCTAACAGATTATACATAGATGTATCCAAAAACTAGTTTTACAACTTCTACCATTCACCAATAGTGTTGCACAAGGTCACTCCCTCGAAAATACACAGATATTTGCAAAACACCACCTATGAATCTAATGTATCGACTAAGTGACCAAGATTAAAACAATTTCACAAGCAGAGAGAATTGATAGAAGTCATCCAGACAATGATCCCACGGTGTAAATACACTTAGAAATAAGCGTAATGAGACACTTACCAGCAAATATAACAACACCATCGGTAGATACCCTTGCCAATTCAGGAAGAGTTTTGTTGAGGTATTTTGGAGACAAGTAATCCAAAGCATCTGACACTACTACAAGAGAAAATGACTTTGCTCGGTATGGCAGTGAGAACTTTATATCAGCCATTCGTACAAGGCCTTTGCGCACAAGACTTTTGCAATTCGTGTCAGCATCCTCCAGGTCATATGGTTCCACACCCCAGGCTTCGGTATCCTCCTCTTTCAATAACTTGGATACTACGGAACATGTGTCAGGGCCCACATGCAACACTTTATGCATGCTGTCACCGTATACTTTCTTCAGGACAGGTATGGCTGTCTGGACTTCATATGTGCACGAAACACCACCTGTGCATGCATATTATAGATATCAACAATTGCAATGGTTCCACAGCTTTTACAAGCTTGCATGGAAATAATCATTCCCAAATACTTTTAAGAGAAAAACAAATGCATAAATAAGACTACCCATAGAATTGTGCCAACTGGTACAAAATACATCATCATCCCACCCCTCATAAAGGAATCTCAAAGAATATCCAAATTCTAGATGCATTGACTTACAAGTTGAAAAATAAATAACAAAGTCTACATAAACGAGAAATTCTAAAAAGAATTCATAATATATTAATATCAAGGTTACCATGTTGATGAGGAATGCAGCAAATGTCATCATGCACTCCTAACGCATTGCAATATAAACAGAAACAAAGTTCAGAATAATAAAGTCGATAATGTTACAGTTATACTAACCTTCAACTTTTCTTACAGCCTCAATGTTGCTCGCTCCACCTATCAAACAAATCCCAACAGGTAGAAACAAAGTTACAGATGAGGTAAGAATAAGAACCTGAGCTGAAACATATTAAGTCCAAACTCAGTTGCCTAAGGTAATTTACAATTCTCAATTCTCGACTAAAACAAAGCTAGCAGAAAAGAAACAAAAATATCATCCTAGGTCCATAACTATCCTTCCATTCCTCTAATGAAAATGGAATTCAAATGAAAAACAAAAAAGATCCTTTTTTTTTTTTTTTTAAATTATTTATAATCTTTGTCTATGTTGTTGGTTTCTTAAACAATAAAGAAACAACAACAAACAAATTTTTACAACCCTTCTTTTATCCACTACTACTGAAAATGAAAACAAAAGATGTACCTGAGCCGCTATAACAATAGCCAATAATGAGAATCGCGCCCTGAAATTTTCAACAAGATAGCTTATCAATAAATATTCTCTAAGTTGAAACTAAATTCATTTCAATATGTGTTCATTAAGTTTTTACATCAATAAGCAATTCAAAGACACGTTTAAAGTCATATTTTCTTATTAAACCAATGATTATTAACTGTTCCTGGCATAAGACAAATGGATAGAATTAAAAAAAGTAAAGAGACATAATGGGCATAAAATAGCAGTGTAAAGTACCAAGACTACAAGCACAACAGATAGTAAAGGCGATGAACGGGTTTTGGATTGCACAGAACCAACGAATGGGATGCTTCCACTGTCAGCAATACGCCGAGCAGGATTTACTTGCCTCCTTGACATGATTATTTGTAGTAGCAGTTGTAGTAATTAGCCTGCAAAAAACTAGCATAAACTAAGACAAAATTTCAGATAATGGTGTTCCAATTTTGAGAAAATCCATCCACTTTTATTGTTTTTATGATATTTTCCACTAACTAATCTCAAAAAGTTGCATATGATATTCTCCACTAACTAATTTCAAAAAGTTGCATACTTTATCCAATTATCAAATCCAAAGAAAACATAAACAATGTCCAACCGTCTAAAACGGCGCGCACGGTAGGTACATACGTCAACACACGCTTACAACAACACTTTTCAAAAACTGACAAAGGAAAGTATGTCAATTGAGCTAAAGACCCATTAAGTAACTGTAACATTAAGAAAATCGACAAAAAAGTGGTCAAGTGCTTCCACAAACATGAAATTGCATTCGATAAATGCGCAACCTTCACAGTTCACACTAAAAAAAAAAAAAAAACGTTCTCTAGGTCATCCATGGAAACACAGATTATGAAAACCTAGGTTGAAGATTGAATCTAATATGCAAGAAAGTACAAATCAAAACACTAATTAATTACAATAAAATATAGATCGAGATAATCAAGCAAAATCTCAACTAGAAAGCAATTGAAATTTAGGGGGAAATAGAAAGAAAAGATCGATTGAGCTGCCGAAAAAGGGAAAGCGATGAAAGAGAATGCGATTACCGTGAAAAAGGAGGGAGGAGAGAGAGAGATCTCAGAGAAGCGAGGCAGCAGAGCAGATCTGAGCTAGGAGGGCAAGCAGACAGTGATAAAGAAAGCGATAGCGAGAGGTGTAAGAAATTGATAGATTCTAAAATCCATCGTGTAATGTTTTTGGGAAAACTATTTTTCAATTCCCAGCGGATCTACCTGGCATTTTATAGATATTGTATTTATATATATCGGAAAGGAAAATTAATTAATTAATCGATCAATAGCCCAGGTGGACTCTTTAACTAATGACTCGGTGAGTTAGAGGGTGAGGACTATTTGCTTAATAAAAAAAGGATAATTTACACAAATAGTCTTTAAACTTTTTAAGAAGTGACAGTTTAGTCCTGAATTTTTATTTTTAATAAAATGACTCCCAACTTCTTTAAAATGTGACATTTTAGTCTTTTCCGTTAAATTTTTGACGGTGCAAGTCAATGCAAGTCACGCGACTCTCTCTCTCTCCTCCCTATCTCCTCTATCTCTTCTCTCTCTCTCTCTCCCTACATCCTTTCTATTTTGTTTCTCTCTCAAACTAGATACATTCATGACCAGCGTTGGTAGCGGCTCTACGATTTCGGCGAGCTTCATTCATGATTTTTGCCTACTTCATTCGCTATCTCAAACCAAATTTGGCGAGTTCCTTTCACGATTCCGGCCTAAAGCGCGATTCTATTTCCAGCCTGATCTCAGGTCACAGATTCAGAAAAGATAAGTCTGCCATCGCAACGAACACTTGCTCGTTATTGTCCTCTCTTCCACGGTGGCGCTCGTGAGAACAATCAGAGAAGAGGAGTCTACCGTCGAAAATGATAAATCTATCACGAACTGCTCGCGATGGTCAGATCGGGCGAAAAGAGACTCCAACCTCGCGATGGTTAGAGATCTAACAAAGAGAGAACTCCGACCTCGACTTCTGAAGAAGAACTAACAATGATGTTGAGGAGAGAGGTTGAGGGAGATGAAATGAAGAGATAACAGGGGAGAGAGAGAGAAGCGAGGGTTTTTTTTTTATTATTATAGGAGCATTTAAGTCATTGTATTGAAAAAAGCGGTCATGTGATATATTATGTTAAAAATTTAACAAAATTTGATGGAAATAACTAAACTGCCACTTTTTAAAGAGGTTATGGGTCGTTTTGTCAAAAAAAAGATTACGGATCAAACTGTCACATCTTAAAAAGTTTAGGGACCATTTGTACAAATTACCCAAAAAAAAAGAAAACTAAAAAAAAAACATTATTAATGAATAAATAATAAATATGAAACTTGAATTTGAGTCTTATACTCAACTATGAGTGTTTCCTCTTAAAAAGAATTTCCTTATTTTCTGATATTTATGGCATTTTATAGAATACATTTGCGATTCACACCAGCTTGTGCTCAATTCCATAGGATTTATTAAAAAAAAATGTTTGTGTTATTTTTTATATTCATTGTTTAACACGCGAACTCTATTAATATATTATTATTTAAATAGTGAGTGCACGTGACAAAAAGTAAATGTATAAAGTGATAAAAAAAAATGACAAAAAAAGTGATTATAGCATTTCTAAAAAAAATCACATGAATCAAGTTATTAACAATAATGTTGGTATACAGTTAGATTTATTTTTATATCATGTTGTTCATATTCTTAATATTGATTGTAGTGTTTCTTTCTAATAAATTTTAATTGCGTTCAATTTTTTTATGTCGAGATGGGGTTTCATAAGTTGTTTTCGTCGATGTGTTTTATTGGTGGATTCAGTCAATATTTGAGATCGAAATCTCATGTTGGAGGTCATATAGGACTAATTTTATATGCATAAGCCATTAAATCTGAAATGAAATTTGCCAAAAAAATATTTTTTGTAGTCATCCAAAATTAATACGACGCCGTTTTCTAGAATGACGGTCTTGCGCTCTTGCTCTTTTCCACACGTGTTTAGCCGTACTGTATTCTTCCCGTCGATCTTCACTCACCGAGTCGAGATCAGACTCAGGGATCGTAAATTCCCACTTTCTTGCCAAACAAACAGTAAAACAAAAAAAACAAAAAAATTTGATTTCTTCCGCGAACAGCGACAACAAACCCAAAAGACAAAAAAAAAAAAAAAAAAAAAAAAAACCCCTTGATTTTCGTTCTGCGAAAGCGAGGAGGAAAAATCATTACTTCGGTTTTTTTTTTCCCCTCGAGAAAAGAAAAATGGATGGTCGAAGTCGTGACTGGGACATCCATCTCAGAGCCTTATCGAGTAGCGCCAGTATCGCCAGCGATCCTGCTTCCGATTCTTCTCTTCTGAAATCCGTGAGCTCCAATTCCAAAAGTTATAGCTTTCTGTTTGGTTGCCGAGAAAACGAGATTTTGAGAACGTGTTGCTTTTGTGAATCTTCTTTTCTGATTTTCCCTTTCGTGCCGTGCGGTTAGGTGAAGAAGCTTCACGAATTGTGTAAGGCTGAGAACTCGGAGGATCTGATAGCTCGAGTTTATCCACAAATTTACAGGCTTTTTCAACGCTCAGTCGCTTCTCTGTCTCAGTCTCAAACCTCCAACGGCCTTCTCTTACTGGTTTGGTTTAATTTTGCTTAATTAATTATGTGTTAACATTGGTGTTTTAATGGAAATTTCTCTGGCGTTAGCTTAATTATATTTATATTTAATTGCCAAAAAGGGGGAGAAAATAAAGAAGAACATGGAAAATTTGGATTTTCTAGTCCTGGAGAGACAGGGTATTGATAATGGGAGTAGCATTGGAAGTTGGGATATGGAAAATGCAAAGTTCAAATCACTAAAAAGCATAAACTTTTTCCTGTTCCTTTTTTTTTTTTTTTTTTGGCATTTCTGAAGAAATACATGTGAAACTTCATATTGTTTAGTTTCTTATCTGTTAATGATCACATTTCTGTTATAATTTAAGCATATTGCTTATACAATCTTTTGTTATATCTATCAGGCTATCCTTCAATTTTATCTCGATTTCGGTGATGTGGTTCTTCATGATGCTGATCCCAATTTAAGAACATTCTTTAGGACATGCTTGAGCCGGTACTAATGTCGTTTGTTAAAATCTTTATCAAGTTGTTCAGATGTATTTAATACTTGATCATAGTTTCTTCTTTTCAATGACCATCAAGCTGCACTTTCTGTGAGATTGTTTGGGTATCAGGTGTGGGTAAATTATCCTCTAAAATGGTTAATTCCTTTGACCATATTGTGTGTTTGAGACAAATATTAAAGTTTATCCTCTATTCTTACTTTGTTTGAAATATGCAAATTTTTCGGTGGGAATGTTGTCCTATTTCTTTTCCTTTCTCATGGAATTTCTTATTCTTTCCTTATCGAGCTTTAAGCTTGATGATCATCACTCATCGTCTCTTCTAATTGTGTTGCAGTGAGTTTGCAGATCCTGCTGTTGCAGAAGCAACCCTTGAGTTTCTGAATGTGAACAAGAAAAAACTTCTAAGCTCTTTTCCTACTTTACTGCCTCAGGTATGATTTGAGATATGCAGCACTTCCTGTTGATTGGGAAGTAAAATGGTCTTTTCTCGTTTGACTCACTGCCATAAATATTTATACACCTGCACAGACACAACAAATAAAGTAAAATATAAACTATGAATTCCAACTCTTGAGTGTTGCTTTATTACCGTGTAAAGAATTAAATTGCAAACACTTGTGGTAAGGTCATAATTGTCTTCAACTGGTTATTGAAATTAAGTATCCCCTCTTCCTTTTATACGTCTGTAATTTCATTCTTGTTCCTTTTTCCTTCTAAAAATGAGCTTTTGTGATATTACAATTATGTATCGTGCAGTTCTTTCCATTATTGCTGAAGCTGATTGCTTGGAATGGAGAAAAGTAAGTTCTTCACATATACCCACATTCTGCTTAAGTGCACATGTTCAGTTAGATATTTTTCTAAAAAGTGATGTATTATAGTTGACTGTGTTCAAAAAGATATTAACCAAATGTGATCAACTAGAACTGCTAATATTCATATATTTCTTTCTCTGTGCAGATTGGAGAAATCGTTTCTGAAAGTGTTTCCTGGATTGGTATCACCTGGGTCATTTCTTCCACTACTTCCGGCATTAGTGGACTTGCCAAGTTAGTTTTTGCTTTATTCTGGCTTATTTTGCATCTCCCTCTCCCTCTCTCTTGAAGTTCTGATCTTGACGTTTACTGTTAAACTGTGCTAGTTTTGGTTGTGGCATTGGAAAAAGTGGAAAAGAGCTCAGGGTCACTAGTTGGAAACAGCATAGCTTCAATCCAGAAGAGTACGGCTCCTGAGGGTATCTCTTATACAATACTATGTGTTTAACAAAAGCTCTCTACAAGATGCAAGAAATGATAACAATATCTTTTGTGTTTGCAGATGCTACTGGCACTCATGGATGAAGCTTATACGGGATCTACAATTGGAGATGGGGGAGGAGATTCTGAATCTGAAGACAGCAATACGATAGATGTCGCTGATCCTGTGTTCCTTGAACTTCTGAAAGATGAAAATGATGGCCTTGCTGTACAGTACTTTATACCTCAGTTTTCTTATTGCATACAAAAGAGTGCCTTGAGTCCAGGCAATTATGCAAAGATAGTACCATAAGAGTTTTTGACTTCTCTAGAATACAATGAAACTCATGTTTGCATGTTGTGGAGATTGCCCTCATGTCTTTGCCTTTCTTTCCAGTCGCTTATCTTAAAATAGTATATATGCTGTTAAGGAACTTTTCATTTACTGTTTATCTAATTTTTACTAATAAAATTGGAATGTTTCAGCTCCCTTTATTTGCATTTTTGGTTCTTTCTTTGTTTTGTTGAGTTATGGTTATCATCTTGATATTAATTTTTTCCCATCTTTCTAGTACATTTATATAGTAATTTAGAGGAATAAAGTAAAATTGTGGGCACTTACTTACATATCTCCTGATCTAGTTTTGGTCTTTTAACTTGGCCTTGGATTCTTCTGTCGTAGCCTGCACTTAAAATATCCAAGTAGGCATGTTCTTTTGCAAACAGTAGGTGTAATATATGCGAACAATAATTCTACGATCCTTATTTGGCAAGAAGATTGTTGAAGCTGGGTTGTTGAAATAAGTCATTGACATTTCAGTCTGTGTTGCATTTCAGGAACGCCACTGGACCTCCCCCGTGGTGGCTGCAGCACTACAGGCTGCAATCAACACCCCTCAGTCTGATAGGCTAAAATATGTACTCAATATGACACCCCGGCTTATTGATGTATATTTTGCCATAGCATTGCGTGATGTCAATGATTGTATGTCGATACTCAGTTCTACATATTATTTTGGCCATAATATGATCTTCCTTTTATGGAAGAAAGTTATATTTAAAACTCTGTTGAGTTAGTGTCTGATCTGAGATTTTTCTTCTTTTTTCTTTTCCAGCTTTGATCTGCGCTTTGATTCCTCTTCTTATGTCTAGAAATGCCACAATGTTGCCAGACAAAAACTTTTGTTTTGAGGTGCGTAGGCATTTAATTATGATTAATCTCTCTATTAAGGTTGCTCAGTGTTTGAAGTAAATGATGTTTATGTTATCATTTTTGTTTTTTCTAATCTAGTTAAATTTTATTGTATTATGTATTTTTTTCTTTTCCTTTTGATCTTTGTTACCTGGGAATAGTGACGAAAAATTACGACTCATCCAAGATTCAGATAGATTTTGAAGTTACATTTACGAGTATTCATTTGTCTCTGCAGGTTCGGAAAAGGCTTTTAGAATTCAAGCTTTCTGCATTCCAACGCTCTCCTGGTTTTATTGCAATTCTAAAGGTATGTATGTCTCTTCAAGAGTTATGGTTCCTAAATCATTTAAGATGTTTATGCGTTCTAATTTTATTTATTTTTAATGCTTTTCTTCATGGAAAAAGTTTGACTATCTAGAACTTTTACAGAAGCCAATAATGGATAGGCTTGCAGAAGCATATGACAGCCCAGAAAAGGTAGGTTAATTTCTTGTTAGTTTAGATTTTGTAACTGTGTTGAAGAAATTCATTCAGTTTTTTGTTTTCCTATAGTCAGAGTTGGCGTTACAACTGTGTTGGGCCATCGGAGAGCATGGTGGGGGCGGTGCATCTCACAAAGACGCAGCTCGTGAGCTTTTTGAGGGCTTAGAATTACTCTTATACGAAAACCTTTCATCTAGGTATGGATTATTTTACCTTAGTACTTTCCTTTTTTTTTTAAATAACTCAGTTTGGGTCTTTTCGTAGTGCTTTTGGCTATTCATCCCTTGACTTTCATTTTTGCATTTGTTTACTTCTGTAGTCGTCTAGGCTTTAGGGAGGAATCTGCCTTTGGCTCCGCCAGCCAAGTCTTCAGCAAGTCATCACAGTCAAGGCTTCTGTGTTTTGTTGTTACAGCTATAGCAAAGCTGGCTACACATCATCGTGAGTTGCTACCTAGGGCACGTGTTTCCTTGGGAAAGGTTTGGTCATTAGCTTTACCATATTTGTTATCAATTCATTCACGGTATCAGTGTTTTCAATATCTCTGAGAAATTTTCCTTGGCCTGATTTCTGTGCTTTAGAAGCAATAGTACAAACCAGCATTCTTCGGTCACAGCTCATATCAATTAGGTTGATGTGCATTCCTCAGGTAGCTCGATCGCGAATCTCAGACGTTAGAGTTTGGAGACGTGCTCGTGATTATTTGGGTTTAATGAGCGAACCTGCAATCTCCTCGTCTGTTTTGGGGCCTTCGCAACCTTCCCCTGGACTAGGGCAGAATCCAGGCACTGTAAAGTGGAGCGATGGTGCCACGAAGATGATTGCGCATATTCCATTTTACATTCTCGGTGAACAAGAAGGTATCAACACTTTTTTTTCAATCATTTCTTTTTTATTTTTAATCTCTTTGCTAACTTGACAAAAAAACAAAACCATGAAATACCAGCAATCATCCTAAATGGCCCCATCAATTGAATAATATCAAAGACGATAGTAGCTCAAATTGCGTCTGGCCGTCTTTTCACCCCTTTATTTGGTCATTGTTTTTCTTCTTGGTTTTTGGCGTGAACCATGCGTAATGAATAAGATACAAATTTCTATATCTTCACCTTTTGCAGGTCAACCTTCCCATGATTGTTCATTTTCAGATATTCTTCCAAGACGATAAGTGGAGCTTGTCTTGTGGAGAATTCTCCAATTTTGAACCTGAGCCGTTCTTTTTTGTGTCTCATGGATTCTTTGTTTGTCCTCGGGGGGAGCTACACATTATTGAGGGTAGGCGGCCGTCCCATCTGAATTTTTATTTTTCTTTTAATTTTGTATGTATATTTTGTTGAAAGATTACATAATCTTTATTTGGGAGATAGGAATAAACAGTTCCAAAGTTCCTTATTTGTGCAAAATAGATGATTCTTTTGAACTCGGCTGCTTTTATATTATGCCTGATGATCAACGATAAAGAATCAAGAGTTTGCATTTCTCTATTGAAACATCATATGATCACCAATTCACCATCAATAATAATTATGGGTGGCAATTCGTGTTATGTGTCGTGTTCGTGTCGTGTTTTGATCGTTTTTTTTTAATTTGCAGTCAACTCGAACACGATCCATGACACGAAATTTTTTAAAAACCGCAACACAAATACGACACGACCACTTTACGAGTTGACACGACACGACCCGAAAAAACACGAAATTGACCCGTGAATTCAAAATTGACACGAAAATTGTATATTTTTATTTACCTTTTTACATATTAGAAATAATTTAAAATTCATAACACACTAAATTACAATAACATCTATTGAAATTAAGCAAATAATAGTATAAGATTTTGAGTATAACTATCATGATATCTCAAGTTTATAATAAAATTTAAAATATGAAATGAAAAATATATGAGTTTTGTGTCGTGTTCGGGTTAGGCGGGTCCAACTTGAAATTGACTCGTGTTTTTTTGTGTCAATTTCAGGTCGACTAAATTCTGACCCAAATCTCATTTTTCTCAATCCTAACCCGTAAAATTCGTGTCATTTTTTAATCGTGTCGTCGTATTGTGACCCATATTACCGGCTCTAATAATAATGACGCATCTACTATGCGAGTACGTTATGTATGCTTATATATATATATATATATATATATATATATCTAGGGAGGAGCAATTTTAATAGAGTTTTAGAGTTCAGTAAATTGTTTATAACATGTTTGGGGCGTTTGCATCGCTCACTTTAATAAGGTAGACTCAACTTTAGGAAGCTATTACTACCTAAAATAACTATGACGTGCTCGTAGCATGTGCAAACTTTTTGTTCTGTTTCCCTTTCTCTGATTTTCCATGTTTCTGCAGTCAACATCAACAATTAGAATGGGTACCGATTAGCGGGGGAAAAAAAAAAAAAAAAACAATAATTAGAATGGTACCTTTTTCAACAATGATCAAGTGCATCATACTTAAAAATGTTATTTAATACCAAAAAATAAATGTAATTTATCATTTGCTACACGTAAATAAAAATGGTAGATTTATTATTGAGGATATTCTAGCAAATCGAGATAATGATAGTCGAAGAACATGTGAAAAAGCAACTGTCACATACTTCTCAAATTTACTGCTGGATAGTTGGTTCTAAAATCAGCTGTATAGAACTTCTTATCAATTCTTTAACAATCCAAAAGCAACCTCTGATAGCAATATCAAACGGGCCCTTGATGTTACGTTATCGTTGTTTTGAGGGACATTGTCATTTCTTCGGCTTTTTCTCTATGATGTCGTTTTCTTTGTTATTTTCGGTTAGGCCTTCCCATCATTCGGATTCCAGCGAAATTCCTACTCCCTCAGCAAGTGGAGCCGTTTCTGTACAATTGAGAGAGACTTGGACAGAAACATCACCGAGGGGTCAGATACCACTTGGCACTTGGTGGTTATTTGAAACAAAATTATAAATTATTTTCCCTCCTTTCTCTCTCCTTTCCTATTAAGAAGGAACTGAGTTTTAAATCTTTTATGGAGTGCTTGATATGAGAATTCGTGTCATAATTCATGACTCGTTATAGTATTTTTCTTCACAAAAAACACACGTAAACCAAAAACGGTTATAAATTATGGTTCTAAATCCGTGAATCAGACGTCCACTTATGCCATGACTATTTGCTTATATTTCTAAAAGCATTTCATCCAATTGCTTCCCACTAGCTTTGAAGTTTCTTTTCTTGTTGCAAATTTTTTTGTCCTTTTCAACACAAGCCAAATGCTGTCAAGATTACATCTTTATTCGGTCTTTTCTACAAGTTCAATTTGTCATCAGAAGGTTAGAAAGCAATATGGACAGAAAAGGATCATTATGTATGCAAGAAGATTCTGTTCACAACATCAACTGGCAAAGCATAAGCTGGGTCTATGGCTTTCACTCCCGGATATTCAAGAAGAGAAAGTCCTGCATCGATAAGCGTGGAAAACTTTTAGATGTCATAAAGAGATATTACATAGACTTAATAATCTAAACAAACATCAAATTATAACAAATCCATTACACAACCAATGACTCCCATCGTAGTATGCTGGAATCGGAATTCATAATCCATTTGGCAAAGATAAGAAGAAAAGGGAAGTATTGTTTTTCCAGAACTGTGAATTATGACTTTTAGAAAGAGTGGCATGCGAAATTCTTGGGTACGAGAAAGAAGGGAAAAAAGGGCAAGAGTGATGGTACCAGCTACACCAAAGTATGTGTGGTAAACATCAACTGCATCATCTGGTCTGTCTGAGATTCCTCCATTTTCAGTGTCCTGAGATTAGAAGAATGCACTATAAACCTCGTAGATAATAAGAGCGCAATCGCCACAAAACTACCAAGATGATTTTATGAAAGATCAAGAAGCCCATGCAGTTACAGAAAAAAGAAAATAATAAAAATAATAAAAAAGCCTATGCAGTTAGAAATTCTACCTGGCAGTCCAAGATAAACTTAACAAGCTTTTCCTTATTGATCCAATGCACTCTGTCAATCATGATCAAGCTAGAAAGAACCCACCATGAATAGCAGACCTGGTGAAACACGAAAAATTCGATAGGACTTGAATAATTCTACAGTTTCAATTTAGATAAGAACATTATCGACTACCCACATCAGGAAGTTTCTCTGGGCGTCCATTAAGACCTCCAGATTTGACTTGCCGCTCAGATAACCACCATCCAAGAAGGTCCCTGTCGACATGGTGCAGAGACCCCATAATAGCAAGAGCACCAACACAGCAGAAAACTGCAATTATGGCCAAAAAAGCATAGCCGTAACTATTGACTGATGTTACGAAGAGCAAATCATGAAAGTGAGAGCACATAATCGCCATTATTAAATGGACTAAATTTGACGTATGTAAATTTAACGTATGGCGAATGGAAGTCTTAACACACCACAAATAGTATATGATGTCACAAATTTCAAAAGCAGAAGTTCCCAAAATGTAATTGCAATAACATGTATCTTACTTTGCCCTGCATGAGATTCCCCACCAGGTGTGCTTCCAAATCCACCATCGAGATTTTTGCAACTGACTATGTACTTCACAGCCTTCTCTACATTGATTTTATCCAAGCGATGCAATAATGAGAGGCAGCATATGGCGATATAAGAAAATCTGAAAGAAAACCAAAAAAGTGAAGGCATGCTAACTTCAAAAAAGCATGAGGAAAAAAGTAAAAGAAGGAAAAGACTACCGAGTATCGACTTCACCCCACTCATCCCCAGAAAATGATCCGTCTTCATTTTGCAGCCCAGCAACATCTAACATAAAAGCTAAGTAACACAAGAAAAACTAAGCTCACAATGCCTAACATGACTATTTTAGACCATAACCTCTTGACATTTAGGAACATTCACCTATCTGTATTTGAACTACCACAGTAATAGTATTCCAAGAAGCCATTATAAAATATTTGAAATTCCTCTAAGAATAAGGCAGGCAAAGGATACAATTTGACACCTTTTCTATGTCTAGAACGCCAAGCTTGTTAAGAAGGGCCAAAACTTGAACAGCACTAAGGGTATACAATATGTGTGGGTCATGCCCAACATTACCGCCAAAACCACCTGTACAGCCAAAAAAAAAAGGAGAGAGAACGAGAGAAGAATATATCACCGCTCTGTCTATAGTATTAGTATAATCATTTTTAAATCCTATAACTTAATCATTCTCACTTAGGGAACAATTGAGCTGATCCATTTAAATTTATTCAAAAATCCAAAATGCCTCCCTCTATACAGACCTGACTCGTGCTGGCAGCTGATGATCCACGAAACAACCTCATCGACATCCACGGCATGTAGCTTTCCCAATAGGTCAAGAGTGGTTAGTCCCCAGTACGCCCCATTCATTCTCAAATGCTCCATCACCACCGATTCAAATGAATCTTTCTTCTGGTTTTAACAAATTCAACATATTTTTAGATCTTCAGAAGTATTCTATATGTTTATTTGTGTGTGGCTAATATGTAAAGAACAGACCTTTTCAACCGATATGATATAGTTGACGTGCTTCTCAGCTGCCAGCTCCCCCATCTGCAAGATTTTATTTCAGTCAGCTTTATTTTGGTTATTTGAGAACTGAGCTTAACAAAAACTATGATAAAAAGGAAAAAGCTTATATTGACCAAAGAAATATGCCGGCCGGGTTTCAATTGAATAAATTACTGTAAATAAGATACCCAACTATCAGCAATCTGCCTTCGACAGTATTCAATTCATTTCGCTTTTGGATCACCCAAAAGACTGCAAAGTGGAGTATCCCAGGGATTGTGACTGCAAAGAAGCTGATTTGAGCTAAGAGTGCTCGAGTTCATCAAGCAAACTGATACATTTTGGAACAAATTACACTGTAGGCAATCTATTCTACAACAACTATAACAGAAAATAATCCTGCAAAATAGACAAAGGGGGCAAATAAATCAACACTAATTTCAATTCAAGATCCAATGCTAACTTTAGAATCTGAAAGACTTTAATTTTTTTTAATAAGAAAAACACATTTACTGATAAAAATCAAATATAGGTACAAGAGGATAAAGTATCCTCCAAGACAAAAAAAATAACCAGAAAAGAAAAACTAAGCTATCACCCCCCTATTACATCTTTCCAATTTTAATATAATCAGCGAAAACGGATAACTCTTAAAAACTTTGTCCATTGAAGCCCAAAGGGAAGCTAAATATTTAGGCCTTGTTCATTTCACCGATTCGAGTTTTCAATTTTAGGTTTCTACAGTTAAAAGCTCTCAGAAAATGTCACATCTAACTTTTTCTGCTACAGTTAAAAACTCTCAGAAAATATCATATCTCAGCTCAAATTGAAAACTCGAATCCGCGAAGCGAACAAGGATTAGCTTTTTCATCCCGCCCCCCACTCTCAGTTTCACAATGTGAAGGAAAACACTCAACCCCTGAGGGATAAATTTCCATGATTTCTAAAACAACCTCTACTCACTTAAGTTTGAGTTCCATCCGATTGATTGCAGGCCATACTTTGCTTCAGATAATCTGTGCCCACAGGGAATGTTTTTCCAAAGGGAACCTCCATAGCCACTTGCCTAAAAGAGCCAAATTCTTCCATTTTAGATTTCCACAGATAATCTGAGAGATAAGTTTATTTTGTCAGCTTTTTGTTACTGTTTCCTGTCAAGTTTTTTTTTTTTTGCTTAGCCATAACTTGTTATTTTGTTAGATTTTTAGTAGTTGCCGTTCCTTTATATTATTTCCTTCTCTTTAGTCTATCTGTTTCCGTAATCAATAGTTGTTATCGTGTTCCTACGATATTTTCCACTTGCTAAACTCAAAAAGTTTCTTACTTTTTATCCAATTATCACAACTAAATAAACAAAAACAACGCCCAACCGCCTTCTCCATTGCTTCAAAAAGGTGCGCGTGGTAGGTAAATACGTCAACACACACTTAGAACAAGAATTTTCTAAAGCGACAAACAAAAGAATGTCAATTTATCTAAAGACCCATTAAGTAAAACATTAAGAAAATCAACAACAAAAAAGTGGTGAAGTGCTTCCCCAACCATAAAAATGCATTGGATTGATAACCAACAAGAAAGTACGCATGACAAAATTTAATTAAAATAAGACATCGATCGAATTATTCAAACAAAATAGTAATTTGAAACTAATTGAGATGAGCCTGGGGATTTACCGTGAGAGAGAAGGAAGAAGGGTGAGATCTCAGAGAGGAGTGAGGCTCTACTGTGAGTGAGGAGCTGGGTGAAAAGAAATTGACAGATTCCAAAATTTGGTTTTGTTTTGGGAAAGTATTTTCCAAGAATAATGCTAAACATATTAATTTAAATTATAATTTTTCTACCAATTTATATTATATAATATGTAAATTATTATTTTTATATTAATAAGTGTTTAAAATATTATCATATTAATTAATAAAAATATTATATCTATTAATAAAAATGTCAATTCGTGCATTAATTGATTCATCAAAATTCATTTGTGAGTTGATTTGTGGGTTAATATCATGGCATTTGTTTTTTTCAATTGCCAGCGGATCTACCTTTTATTTTTAGAATTTTATTTATGGAATATTAAAAAGAAAGTTAAGCCTCGTTCAGTTCGTTAATTTAAATTTTTAATTTAAATTAAAATATAATTTTATGTGAAAATTTTTAATTATAATAAAAAAATTAAATATTACTTTTTATAAAAAATTTTAATTATAATAAATTTAAAATTTAAAATTTAAATCTGTGAAATTAACGAGCTCATTAATTAAACAAAGGGTGTTTATGATTTTACACTATCATCAGTATGGGAAAAGAGCTCACCCTGTCGTAGATTTGCCCCAAAAAAAAAAAAAAAAAAAAAAACTCTACTAAAGTATAACTAAAAAACTATACCGAAATAATGAAAATGTACTTGAACCGTCAACTTGATATTATTATTATTTATTATTATTTTTTCCAACAGAGGAGAGGCATGATAATATAGAAAAAACCACGAAGACAAAACCCACAAAAACGAGAACCAGCATAGCAACCGGAAAAGCCATTGAACAACTAGAAGAGTATTAAGTGGGGCCACGATCCACAGCAGACTAACAAAACATCATGTAGGTAATTAGGCCACTCGGAGAATACCGAAGCAACCCTCTATCCCAACAATAGAGAAAATCTCCTATAAATTATGAAGAGAAAGCAAGTTCTGCCCGCCAAACAAAGTCTAGCAAAACAGCAGCCTTAAGTCGATCACAGAGATCCAGCAGTAACCTACAAACCAATGGGGGTCGGATGTGAAAGTATCACCCGATTTACAAACAAATAAGCTTCAACACAAAAGCTAGAGAAAATTGAAAGTATCAAACCAGCAAGATCAAGTCCCTCAACGCCGGACATCTGAGAGGAAAAGTAAGAGCAGCGCCAGATAAAAAAGACACCTAAAAAGGTGCCAAAAGCACTTGAAATACGACGGCGCGTGTGCCCGCCGACGGGCGGCGATTGCCACATTCGACGACAGCACCTTTCTCGCCTCCCTACCGCAACCTAGTTTTTGAAGTTTTAGCAGGATCCCACAATGTACGCGTCCCATATCTACGACAGAAGAAGGATGACCTCTTCCCCTTAAACGACTCCATTTTGATAACTGCTTAAACTTTCGTCGGCACGAATCCGACTCCAGTGACGTATGTGACCTTCCCATCGAACGTTAGAGGCCGACAGCCTAGCAAAAAGCCAAACTATTGACCCGAGAACCTACTTTCTCACGAAGCTTTCAATCTCTTTCTCTAACATTCTCTCCCTCAATTTGATATTACCTTAAGGAGTTTCTATGTTAGGCCTTAAGAAAATGTACTAACGGTAGTTTTTTATTTTCAATCGTCAGATATGGTTAAGATTATATCAGATTAAAAAGTATACAGAATAAATAATTTTTTATACAAATCTAACAATTGAAAGTAAAAAACTACTTATAGTTCATTTTTTTAGACCTAACAGAAAAACTCTCATTACGAGAAACTCCCATTACCTTAAGGTGGGAGAGTTGAAAACCATCTATAATAAGATAGATGATGACATGGTTATGTTTTAATGGGTGGGGACCGGAGATTGTTTGGTCGAGGTGATGGATTTTAGCATGTGCGTCCCATTTAAATGTACGGGAAAATTAAAATCAAAGTGTTAGATTTAAGGTGTATAGATACAGTTTTCAAAAAGAAAATGTGAAATTTGTATCATGCATGTGTATCTGCTTTTTTTAATTATTTTCTTTCTTTTTGCTAAAGTATTCATGCATTTGTTGCAAATAACGTTATGACGTTAATGAACGAAATATTAGCCATTCGAGCTCCCAAATGGCAGATAGCCAAGTTCCAACATTAACTGGTCCAATAACGTGGGATTGCTCTTGGCCTTGTCACTAGCATTATTACCAACTCCCAAATTACTTATTTTTCAGGGGTCTCGTTTCTCATTTAAATTTGTCAATTCGTTCACTTTCATAAACACAACGTAAATTTCACCGATTTGAGTTTTTAGTTTGAGATTTCTACAGTAAAAAACTCTTAGAAAATGCCACATTTAACTTTTTCTACTACAGTGAAAAAGCTATCAACAAATGTCATATCTCAGCTCAAATTAAAAATTTAAATCCGTGAAGTGAATAAGGCCGTCGGCCTCGTTCACTTCACAGATTCAAGTTTTCACATGTAACCATATGACTCTATTTGGTTTGTTGATTTAAATTTTTATTTAAACTAAAACATTTGAATTGTATGGTCTATATGTGCAATTAAAGTGGAAATTTGAACAGAGTAGTGAAATCAATCATTACTAATAAACAACATTAAAAATCTCAATATGACGGCTCTAATGTGATTGATTATATATCCATTTTCAAAGTGAACACGTTAGTTAAAATGCATAAACAAAGCAATGAGCTTTTACGCAAGAAAACAAGGAGTCCCACAGAGCAGATTACGGCAATTGCAAAGTATCCCACCACCAATAATTAATCCTAACTTTAACTTATTGCATGAGTTCGACAGATTACAGATGTTAGGCAACGAAAAAATGACTAGAGGACGTTTGGTTGGACGATTCAAATCATGTGATTTGAATCATTTTCGATTTACATGAATTTTTTGTAAGAGAAAATACTGTAGCAAACTATGAATCATGATTTGAATCAGGGAATGAATCCCTCTACCAAACATCCTCTAAATAATTAAACTTTTTAAGGTCCTTAGCTATTAGGACACGGATATTCAGACACAAATGATTCTCTTCAATTTTGTCCGCAGCTGACAACCCACCCCTTTGAGCCACGTGTCGTAGAAATTCACGGCGTATGATTTTTGACTGCGTGGTTAAAACTTAGGTGACATGGTTCTGTTTGGTTTAGTATTATGATTTTTAGTTATGTTATAATATTTTTTTTCACAAAAAATTTAAATTTTAAAAATTAAAATTATAAACTATAATTTTGAACTCATAAATTAAACGTCGCCTAAATCCTTTAAAATTTGCAAGCTAATAGACTTCAGATTAATTTTGGCCCGATCAAATAGACCGACTCGATACCTGTCACTGTTGACTCGAGTTTGGGTCTGGCCAAACCCTAATCTCCAAGTCGGGTTAAGGTTTTGAACATGAAAATTTATTCATGCTGGGCCAACCTAATCTTTTTCAAAAAAAAAAAAAATTTTAATATTTTATAAAATTTCAATCCTAAGCCTTTTGGGTTTTAGAGTTGGGTTGACACTCTTCTCCTATTTAAGGCAGGATTGGGTTTAGCGGCCCGCACTTTCACCTCTACCTGAGAGAGAGAGAGAGAGAGAGAGATCCTTTTCTTATATGTAAAAGATTGTTGAATTTTGAAATGGTGATAGACTGAGGAAAATAGGGAAAAGAAACATAGAGAGAAAGGCTCATATATAATGAAGAAAAGTAAGGGATTTTTTTTTTTTTTTTCAACATGATCTCCATTTTGATAGGTCAATTTCTCACACTAAATCTAAGTTAAAAAATCACATCAGATTGAAAAAGTATGTGGAACATATAATTTTTTTATACAAATTTAATGATCTAATGTAGAAAATTATCAGTAGTTTATTTTTCTGATCTTACAAGAGAAACTACTAAAAATGAATTTTATTTTGTTGAAGTGTGATAGATGATATTATTATTTTGAGAACTTTTTTGATAGGACTAGAAAAATAAACAATTAACAATTCTCTACTTTTAGTTGTCGATACTATAAAAAACTGTTTGTTGTGTATTTTTTTTAATGTAATTTAATTCTAACCAAATCTAACGGTGAGACTACTTAAACTGTCCTACCGTAAATGAAAATTCTTTATTATCATGTTTGTCTAATTATATCACCTTTTGTCTCCTTTTGATTAAAAAAAAAAAAAACACACACACACACACACACACAAACATAACACATAAAACCAAACGTAAATCCTTGAGTTCGTACATAAGGTTGTGGTAATTTTTGTTACTACTCGCTCTATATTTTTGAACTTAATGTGAACCATACTCATTCTATAATTTCATATAACCTACGTGGACTTGAGCAAAATTCCCAACTCCTTCAAACTTTTTTATTTTATTTAGTTTACATTAGATTAAATTAAATAACTACTGCATTTATCCTCACGTATATAATGTTACTAATAATTAACATTCTTTAACTCTAAATTTCTTTAAAAAGATAATGATAACAATTTTTTTTTGAAGAATAATGATAACAATTTGTGATTCTCAAAAAAATAAAATCCCCTTGTAACAAATAACCTAACTCAGAAAAAAAAGAAAGAAAACTCTATTTTTATTTATTATTATCATTATTATTATTATTGCTAATCAAAAAAGAAAACTCTATTTGCAAGCGAGATTTCTACATACGTGTAGACTATACGTATAATCGTATATACATCTCTGCGTAATATCTCTCTCTTTTTTTCTCTAGGTGTACACCATCACTTTGACAAGTAAAATCAGGTTCCGAATAATATATATATACACATTTCCTCATCGAACAAAGGTGCTCAATAATGGCGGTGCTGGAGCTCCGGTCATCGTTGTAGTCGGCGCGGCGGTGTTCGTCTGCGTGATATTCCCCTCCTCGTTTTCGCATTTCGTTCGAATTTGTGAGGTTTTGAAGAGGAAGAACTTTCGTTAATGGCGGTGGAGTATGAGTGCTGCGAAACCGGGTTCTTCATTCACATACTGGTGATCGTCTTCTTGGTGCTGTTCGCCGGTTCGATGTCCGGTCTGACCTTGGGGCTCATGTCTCTCAGCCTCGTCGATCTCGAAGTTCTCGCTAAGTCCGGGACGCCCAAGGATCGTGTTTACGCCGGTACTTTCATCTGCGCTTTTCGTGTTTATTTTGACCTTTCTTTTTTTGGGTACTTTTTGCTCTTCTTCTTATACGTTACGGTGCGTTTGGTTGGTCGGAAATTCTGAGAAAATAAGGGGGCCGTATATTATCTTTGAAAATGGTGGCTTTTTGTTGATATGGGACCCTAGATAAATAGATACATGTTTCTTTTTTCTTTTTTAATTTATTTTTTATTTACTTGAGTGAGATTATTTCAATTCAGTTAATTGTTTGGCTGGTCTTCACAGACAAAGAAGATTCGAATGTAAATTTAAGGTTTTTTTTTTGGTCCTTTTTTTTACCCTTTCACACGGGAAATCAATTAGAGCATTATTGGTTTTCATATTGAATTTGTTTTGCTCCTTTCTATGAATTTTTGAGGCAAATGTGTTTTTGGATCGCCTGAAACTTTGTTTTTTTAACACATTTTTAAATTAACAATTAATAGATAGTAGGTTGTTGTTACAAAATGTTGATTTATTAACAGAAGTAGATAGCTTTGTTTTTAGGAGAATCAAAAGTAGATGATTTTGTTTTAGGAGAATCAAAAGTAGGTATGTCAAGAATTCTACTTAATCTCTTCGCTTTTACTGTTTTGCCTGGTTTTCATTAGGGCTCATAGTGTCTTTCCTTCTGGTGAATGTTATCAGTAATTACAGTTTTTTCATAAATAATGCTTTTGGTTCGGTTGATTATTTATTTCTATAACCGTTGTAGCTAGAAAAATGGTTTACTCCTTTCTGTATTAGCACATTGTTATTAATTGGCATCATGTGTGGAACGTTTTAATGTGGTTATATTCTGCTCATACTGAATTTTGTACTTTAACGTTACAGCAAAGATATTGCCAGTCGTCAAAAATCAGCATTTATTGCTTTGCAGCTTACTAATTTGCAATGCTGCTGCTATGGAGGTACATTTAATTAATTTACATTTTCTTGATTTTTCAAAAGACTAAATTGTCTTAATCGCTTTTCCTTATGTTAGGCACTTCCCATTTTTCTCGACGGTCTGATTACAGCCTGGGGTGCTATTTTAATCTCTGTGACATTGATTCTCCTGTTTGGTGAGGTGGGTGACATATCTACTTTCATTTTTCCTTCCAATAAGGACCAAATCTTGCCGAAGCCGAACATATGAACTGTTTTACATCCGGTTCTTAGGTTTTGTTGCTTGCATGTATCAATAAAGAATTTTGCTACTGGGTGTGGTTGTGTTTGTTTGATACTTCTGTACTCTTGTGTTCAGATTATACCGCAATCGGTTTGTTCTCGTTATGGTTTGGCCATTGGTGCTACAGTAGCCCCATGTGTCCGGGTTCTTGTTTGGATCTGCTTCCCTGTTGCTTTTCCAATTAGCAAGGTATATATTCTATTGTTGAGTCAGTATCCATTCTGTTACATTATTATACCTGAGTGATATTGACGGATGTTATTTAATTCCTAATATTTGTTTGTTTCGTTGCCTTGATTTTCTAGTTGTTGGACTTTCTGCTGGGGCATAGACATGTTGCTCTATTTCGTAGAGCTGAGTTAAAAACACTCGTTAATTTGCATGGCAATGAGGTGTGTTAACAACTTTCAATGTTTTTAAGCTTCCATGTCATAATCAACATCATAATTGTTCTACCATTTAAGCCCAGTTGAAATTTTATTGTTTAGATTGTTCAAAGTTGTTTAGTTGACTACTCTTATTCTTTGCTTATTATGATGCAATTTATTTTTTTCTTCTTATTGAAGTATATCATAGTCATACCTTGTTCACCAAACTAAGCTCCCTTAAAAAAATAAAATAAAAAATACTGAGGAAAAAGTAAATAACCAATCAAACTTTAAAAACTTCTCGATTGGATTTTTCTAGTGGACTTCCATTGGATTGTCCAGTTTTTGACACTACGAGATATTTTTAGGCTGGAAAAGGTGGAGAATTGACACATGATGAGACGACAATTATTGCCGGAGCCCTTGAGCTAACTGAGAAAACAGCCGGTGATGCTATGACTCCTATATCTGAAACTTTTACGATAGATATTAATGCCAGGCTTGACAGGTATGCTACTTTTAGAAACTTATCATAGAAAAGTTTCCTTCCAAATTTTGGGTGATTATCTAGCAAGAGACTAATACTTTGCTATCATACAGGGAGTTGATGACTCTTGTATTGGAAAAAGGGCACAGCAGAGTACCAGTTTATTATGAGGAAACCACAAACGTAATTGGACTTATCCTGGTAATTTCTTCCCCCATTTTCTATGCCAGCCTGAATGATGGTTCAAGTCCTACCTTTCAATCTATTTGGAATAAATTTATTTCTAACATGTATCAGGTTTGCGATATTTTTTCTTGATATCTCGTCAACCCTTTTATTTTGATCTTAGGTGAAAAATTTGTTAACAATTCATCCTGAAGATGAGGTTCCCGTGAAGAATGTCACTATACGTAGGATTCCAAGGTATTTGTCTTGGTTGGAGAAATGGCGTTTTTTACAAGTGAAGTACTCATATAGCCTATAGGCGGATCTTGGAAATATGAGGTTGATGAAATGAAGTTCGTTATAACTGAAGTCACGTACAAGATGTTTCTACTAAATACTTGATATGTATTGTATTACATAAACATGATTTCTGCACCTGTCTTGCAGGGTACTGGAAACTCTACCACTGTATGATATATTGAATGAGTTTCAGAAAGGGCATAGTCACATGGCTGTCGTTGTAAGAAGACGTGAAAAAATAACGGAGGAATCTGCCGAAAAGCCTGCCGACAGTATGCACTAGCTTCCTTAATACCTAGAATTTTCATTTTTTATCCCTATTCTTTACAACAATAATTGCTTTATCTGTTTCACTCAACAGATTTAGTGAAAGACGTAAGAGTTGACATTGATGGTGAAAAGCCTCCTCAAGAGAAGAAGCTAAAGAGCAAGAGGTCACTCCAGAAGTGGAAGAGTTTTCCCAACACTTTAAACAATTCAGATAGGAGTGGGTCTAGGAGTAAGAAGTGGACAAAGGACATGTACTCAGATATCCTGCAGATAGACGGCAATCCACTCCCTAAGCTTCCGGAAGAGGAAGAAGCTGTTGGAATTATAACAATGGAGGATGTCATCGAGGAGCTTTTGCAGGTACAAGACGCCACGGCCACTAAGCCATTTTACTGGTTTTTATTTTCTCCCATATCTTCTAATGTGTCTGACATTAGCTCTGCATTATCATGTAGGAGGAGATATTTGATGAGACCGATCATCAATGATGAGACCGATCATCAACATGAAGACTTGTAACATTGGCCTCTTTCCGGAGCTGGATGTTTTGCTGCAGTATTATGGTGACGAAAATTGTTGCATTTGTTTCAATATTCCATCCTTGGTTTGAACCTAGATTGTCATCCGGAAATGTAGTTAAAATGTATTGATAGCCCTTTGTTGCTTGAGATATGGAGAGATTAAAAAACGAACAAGTATCGTTTACATAATAGTCTGTATAATGTTTAAGTTGAAACTCAATCCTTTTTCGTATGTGAGAAACAGTTGTGTATCTCAGAATGTATTCTGTTCCTTTCGAAATTGTCATTGCGTAAAATGAGTGTTTTTTTTTTTTGGTAATTCATAAAATGACATTTTGAACTTTGCAACAATATTCCCTAAATGCAAAAGATATTAGTCACGAGATTTTGGTTGGATAGAAAAAGACATGATTCGTTTGGATTTCTTTTCACCATGAATTGCATCATTAGATACTTTCTCTTCTATCCAAAAAAAAAAAAAAAAAGAGGCTGGCCGTCAACTTTGTTGCAAAATGCTCACGGAAAGAAGATTGATCAACAGGACAATACAATACATATATTTCTTCTGTAATAAATAAGAAATTCTTCACAATCTTAATCGCAATTTATCATCAAATATTGTTGTAAAAAAAAAAAAATAATTAAGTGCCCGGTATCCATCCCTTTTACAGCAAGCTGAATTTTTTAAGAACAGGAGCGGACAAAACAAACTGGAAATACAAAATGTTACAACAGTGTCCAAGCCATTGTTCTTCAGCTTCGAACTGTCATAAATACGCCTATACATTCTAGGATTAAAATCCAAATGATGATAACACCAGTTAGTCTTTTGCACTAGAACAGTGTGGTACGAAGTGCGTGGGCTGCTAATGGTTGTGTTTACTTCTTTTCTCATCCTTTTTCCTCTTTCCCTTATCATCCGATTTACCCTTGGATCTATGCTTCTCAGAATGCTGCTTCTTTGAGCACCTAGAACGATCCTTCTTTCGCTTCTTTTTTCTCCTCTCATCATTCTCTTCTTCGGAAGATTCATTGAGCTTCAGAGAAGAAGGCTTCTGGGGACCATAAACAACATGGCGTTCTATTACATCTGAGCTTCTCGACTCCTCCTTGGAGTCTGAGAAACGAGGAAGGTAAGGGCCAGTTTCATCCATCCTTGATCCAACAGCACCTCGGCCACGCTTAGTCCTGCCATATAAAAAGTATTTCCAATCAAACCGAGTGATTTTTTTCCCTTTTTTTTTTTCTTTACTCAATGACAGATGAGTGGATATGAGATAGAGGAGAGTCCATGCCTTGAATGCAAAAATTCTTCAAGTTCTTCATCCTTCAAACCGTCATCTTTTCTCGAATGGAAATCATCATAGAAGCCTTTGCCACAGGAGCATGAAGCATCTGCGTTGTCATCAGCTACAACATGCCTTTTACTTGTTCTATCTAGGGAGTTACAATCTCTGTAGCTCTGGCCATTGCTTTTCTGGTCCTTTGACTTGTGTTTAAGTCTATCATCCAATTCTAGCTCTTTTTGCCGGATACGCCACATCTCATTTGTTTCCACAGCTCGATTAGCTATAAACAATACAACGAACGGAAAATCAAGCTCATAATTCTAACGCGAATCACAAGCAAAATTCACACATAAAAGAAAGTATATATCAAAATAGAAAACGGTAGCAAATCAAGCAATTACTGACTAAGAGGTACTTCTCATTAAGTGAAGCCAATTACAAAACAGTTGCAAATAATAAATCATCTCAACTACCTGAACATCCCAGTTTTGCTTTCTCCCGAAAACAAGTTTTTCTTTATCCAAATTAAATCCAAAACAGTGAAACTCATAGTAAGAGAGTGTAGAAGACAAGGTTTTTAGAAACCCAAAAATGGCCACCAAAAACATTGTTCACAGTTTCAAATAAGAAAAATTCGAGAAAAGCATTCTTCCTTCAAGAAAAGACAATGTAACTTGGCTATCTATTTATATTATATGAATACAAGTATAGAAAGAACTTACATTGTTGAACACCGAGAACAGTAGCTGTTAGAAACTGTTTATTAGGGCGAACCCTAGCTTTAGGTTGCTGAAGATAAACGTGCACACCTTCCTTCTCAGCTTGCCGCCGCAATTCCGCTGCTTCTTTCATAAGAATGGCGGCTATTCTATTCTCCGTTTCTAGATCCATCTAATCACAATTCCGATTCAAAACCAAATGATCAGATTCATGGAAAATCAACAGAATCATACGAAAGTGAAAAGGGGATTTTTTTTTTTTTTGACTTCCGATCGTTAAAGGAAACCTAAATTGGAAATTCTAAAAAAAAAAAAAAAAGCAACAGAATAGATACCGATCAATGAACCAAAGGAATTCCGAAATCAGGTTAAAGTAATCGGCAGAATTTAGCGAATTTTGAGTCCAACGGAGGGAATATGAACTCCACAGTGCAGAAATCCCTAACCCTAATTGCAGGAATTCCAACAATCGCAAGAATGTATGTTGTCGTTTGCCTTTGGGAATGGCGTGCTTTGGACCTGTCGTCCTTATATTATCAGGCACTTTTTTTTTTGGGGGTTAATTATCAGGCACTTTTTGTTTGTGCTTTATTTTTTTATTATTTTTTATTTTCCTTTAAACACCTTCAAAGGACGTTTTCACGTAGCGTTCCATCAGGTATTGCTTTGCGTCGTTTAAATTGAGAAACGACATATTTCACCTCTCGTTCCCGATTCACACTAACACGTCCTTATCAATCTTGTTGTCGTTTATGTTCCAAAAAAAAAGAGTTTGACACAATTGCCCCAACTTGTGATTTAACAAATTGCTTCTTAAATTTTAATATTGATAAGTTGGCTCATCAACTTGTAAATTTATTATAATGTGTCTTATTTAATTAAATTTATTTAAATTTTTTATTAGATTTAAAGGATTAAAAGTTGAAATATTGAACCATTTATGTTACATTTAAATTAGATATAAATTAAGAGGATAACTTATTAAAATTAAGTTTTTTTCAATAATTAAATTATGTTTTTACTATTTTAATTAATTAAAATATTAAATTATTTAGAATTATTAATCAAGGGTATTTTTATCAAAATACAATTTTTTCAATTCCATTATGTTATCAACCAAACAACATAATCTTTATTCAGGTGTTGATTCCATAACTCCAATCAAATAAAAAAATCAATTTATGATTTCAACATATTCTAATTCAATTTCATTACTATTTCTATTACCATTCTGTGTCACTGTAACTAAACACACCTAAGTTTACGAACCAAATGTACTAAAAAAAAAAAAAAAAAAAAAGCAAAGGAAAACACAACTATTAGTTTAAAAAATAAAAAATAAAAACACCAAACAGGTCATGTCTTTGTCTCCTGTGTCTCTCTCTCTCTACAATAACAATTCCGTCTTTGAAGAATCAATCAGATCAGTAGTAGTTTAGTTAACACAAAGGCGCCGCCACTTGCTGCTGCTACGCAACCTCCTCCTTTTTCGCCGTTGCCATCGCCATCGCCGTCGAAAATGTCTGTGTCGCAGAGCTTCGCCACTTCCTTATCTTCCTCTTCATCAGCTTTCTTCGTCTCCTCCAATTTCATCTCCAGGTAATCTCTTCTTCGTCGTCTTTCTTTCTCAACTTTCTTTGCTCAAAAACATTTTAGCTTCCAAGCTTTCCTTTCCTTTTGCAGCTCTCAAACGCCAGGACTTTGTTTTTCTAATTTTTGTTTTTCGTTTTTAATTTTTGCGTGTTTGAGCAGTGGGTACGGAGTTCAGAATGTTCCGTTTCCTGCGAAATCCATCGGCGTCGTTAAATGCGTTGCCGCGCCTCAGGAACAGGAGACTGGTAATGTTCTTTCCTTCTTTTCGGGAAAAATGAAGGAAATGGAAGTCTTTCCTTTTTTTTTTTTTCCCTAAAACCTTGGAATTCTTGAGCTTTTTCATATTTCATGGTGCTAATATATGTTTTCCCTTTTCTCGTTAAAAGTTTTCAAGACCAAAGTCCCTCGGAATTCAAATATGGCGAAACTTCAAGCCGGTTATCTTTTCCCCGAGGTATGGCCTTCTTTTAATAATTATTTTTGGCTGCTTCTGATTTGGGACATTATACTCTCAATTGTTAGTTATCCGATATGATAAATTTCGATTTGGTTCTACGGGTTTTGAGTGGAATAGATTGCTAGAAGAAGGAATGCTCATTTGCTGAAATACCCTGATGCAAAAGTGATAAGTCTTGGAATTGGTGATACCACCGAGCCCATTCCAGAAGTTATTACATCTGCAATGGCACAGGTATAGTTTCCTCCTATATAGTGTATGGAAGAAAATTTGATTTTTGATCAACTATAATTTACAGTATAAAAAAATTGCTGCTCTCAATCTGTTTCTGAGTTCTGACCACACTTTCAAATTGTTTTACACTTTCAAATTGTTTTACTTTGGCAGAAATCACTCGGATTGTCCACCCGAGAAGGTTATAGCGGTTATGGAGCTGAACAAGGTGAAAAGGTGTTTGGAATCTTTGAATCTTTTAACTCAAGTTTTCCTCAGTTTCTTCGAAGCCATTTTATCGCTTATTGTACAACCTCTTGTTGGTCCATAATCAGGTTGTCAAGATATCTGTTATCATTCACTGTGATATTAAAATCTACGAAATGAACTGAGCATATACGATGTTTGTGGATCCAATATACGATATTAGCTAAATAAATAAGGTTTGTGCTTGATATGGTGTAGCTGAAGTCTTACAGATATTTGTTTATTGGTTCAGCCATTGAGAGCTGCAATTGCGTCGACATTCTATGGAAACTTTGGCATAGAGGAAGATGATATATTTATCTCCGATGGTGCAAAATGTGATATATCACGCCTTCAGGTTTGTTCAGTTCTAAAATTTCTGTTCCTTGAATTTTGTTGTTGGTTGTCCTTCTCATAAAAAAGTTGTTCTCATTTGTTATCTGCTTGCACTTTGTAGGTTGTTTTTGGCTCTAATGTAACAATGGCAGTGCAAGACCCTTCCTATCCGGTAATTTTAGTTGTTTTCAAAAGGTTTTATCCGAAAAAATATCTTCAAGAAAAAAAAAATTACTGCCAATGGATGAAAAGTAAAGATAACGTAGGGGAGAGAGACCTGCACCTACAAGTCAATGGTATTCTTATATTCCACTGATCAATACCATGTAAAGTTTGCCGTTTTCCTATCTTATCTGCAGGCCTATGTAGACTCAAGTGTTATTATGGGCCAGACTGGACAGTTTCAGAAGGATGTTGAGAAATATGCAACCATTGAGTATATGAGATGTACTGCCGAGAATGGTTTTTTCCCTGATTTATCTACTGTTGGACGAACAGATATCATATTCTTTTGTTCACCAAACAATCCTACTGGATCTGCTGCAACGAGGGAACAACTGACCCAACTAGTACAGTTTGCCAAGAAAAATGGGTCAATCATAGTATATGATTCTGCATATGCCTTATATATGTCAGATGACAACCCTCGCTCCATCTTTGAAATTCCTGGTGCTAAAGAGGTAAATCAAGGACATTTTCTGTTAACTCTTGCGTCTTATTTATGTCCAGAAACTTCTCCTCTTTGCCATTCCCTTGGCAATCTCAGTGATGATGGATGCATGTATGCTAATATCATATTGGTATTGCAGGTCGCAATTGAGACGTCATCATATAGTAAGTATGCGGGTTTCACTGGAGTACGTTTGGGTTGGACTGTTGTTCCAAAGCAGCTACTTTTCTCTGATGGATTTCCTGTTGCCAAGGACTTTAACCGCATTGTTTGTACTTGCTTTAATGGTGCATCTAACATTGCCCAAGCTGGCGCTTTGGCTTGCCTTTCACCAGAAGGTCTCAAGGTTAGTTTTTCAAGTTTTTGATTGCTTCCTAAATCTAAAAGTTGAGAAACCATTGTTGCATTAAAGCACTATTTCATGTGAATTTTTTACCGAGCAAAAAACAGATCGTACATTAGTAGCAGTTGCAGTCATCATTTACCAATGACATGGTTGAAAATGAGCTCTGTACCATTGACCTTTAACAGTCAAGTGAGCTTTTTATTTCGATCAGAAAGTCTATGGTTTTGTCACTAGTTGTATGAGTTTGTAATGCAATATTTTCCTACAAAAACGAGGCTGCAAATGTTATGACGAACTTACACGTTTATTGATTCAACTACATGCAGGCTATGTACGAGGTGATTGGTTTCTACAAAGAAAACACTGATATAATAGTGGACACATTTAATTCACTTGGGTTTAAGGTGTATGGAGGGAAGAATGCACCATACGTGTGGGTCCACTTCCCCGGCCAAAGCTCGTGGGACGTTTTCAGTGAAATTCTTGAGAGAACTCATGTCGTTACCACACCTGGGAGCGGTTTTGGACCTGGTGGTGAAGGCTTTATCAGGGTCAGTGCATTTGGTCATAGGGAGAATATATTAGAGGCCTGCAGAAGATTCAAGCAACTGTACAAGTGATCCACTTTATCTGATTGGCTCCCTCAATAAGCAGCACTTCATTTGCCTTTTCTTTTCTTGTGAACTCGAGCTAGTACTGTACTATGGATTCTGTAGTATCCGGATTGCATCTTGTCAAGTCTTATGAGCTATTCTTGTTTTGGAAACATCCAATTTTTCATTTTATTCTAGGCAGTTTCGGGAGCACTTGTAACCGTACTAAATTTTTAATCTTATCAGATATTATGTTCAGATGGCGGTAGAAATTTACTGATTTTATTTCTACCATCTTAATCCTGAAAAATCTTTAGAGACTATACATTATGCATAGAGGAAACATAACGTTTTCTTTTTTTTTTTTCTTTTTTTTCTTCGAGAAAGCTGCCCCAACTAGAGACTGGAGTGCGTAAGATGCCCGGTTTAACATTTATTGCCCCGTTCGTTTCGTTTGTTCGAATTAAAAATTTGAGTTAAAAAATGAATTTATATAAAAGAAAACTTTTAACATTGAATTTAAATTTTTATAAGAAAAAATATTGTTGCAAGAACTTGAGTTGTGATTCAAATTAATAAAACGAATGAGCCTGAGGACTAAATACACAATGATTAAAAGTCAGGAATTGCTTAGTGCTAACTTCCAAAACGTTCCAACTACACATGCATTTCAAGTTACATTAAAGATTACCTATTTTACAAGGCCCAGGTAACAAGTATGACCTAGACAAAGCAGCTCTATCCTACACAACAGGAAACTAGACTTGGGTGTTCTGTATGGTACAAAATTAGACACCTAGAATTGTTCAATGCTATTCACAATCTCTGCTTTGCAGGTTGTCTTGTAGTGACCAGTTTGGTTGCACCGACTACAATGTACCGTGTGTTTCTCACGATTGAGGTCCTCTACACAAATTCGTTTCTTTTCAGGGCGTCCTGGTGGACGCCGAAACTTTGGTGGCCGTACAATCTGAGTTTCGGCATCCACAGCAGCCTCATCTGTCTTTCTCCATTCTAGTTTTCCAGGGATAGGGCTTATCACTTGAGCATAAGATTCACGGTAACTAGCAATAGTAAAACACTTCTCGGTGAAGGCATAAACATCTTTTCGACTTGAGATGAGGGCTGCAACCGCATGGGAACATGGTATTCCATGCAGCTGCCAATCACGGCAGGAACAACTATGGGTACCAATGTTCACAATGTCCGATCGCTCTGATGAGAGGACCTCAAATTCCACCTCATCAGATCGAAGAACTTGGTAAGCAGATGAACGGTTGATGGCTTCTATCATTCGTTTTTCAGCAGACGGAGCAAGTACAGAAAGCCATGAATTGCTCTTCAAACGCCGTTCTTCGAACTCAGCCATTAGTTTGCTGTGGATCTGCTCAATCACCTGGATTATGGGCAACTCGCTAGCATCAAGGATCCATCTATAGAACTCATCAATATTTGATGAGAGATGACCATACCGCGTTCCTTCAGCGTACACCAACGCCCACCGAGAAGGATGAAACTGTTGCAGCCACTTTGCAGCTTCTGAAGATACCTCCTCGAGTTCAGCCATTTTTTCTTTGAAACCAATGGTAGATGTGGAATAGGCGGCTTTCCACAAAAGATGGACCAGCCTTGAGTTCTTGAACTCTTTGCCAATGCTTTCAGTCAAGAGGCGCATGCAATATGCATGAAAAGAGTTTGGAAATTTCCTTCTTACTGCATCAAAAATGCCCTTTTGCCCGTCAGATAAAAACGTTAGATGTGGCATATTCTGTGTGTTTATCTCAAGCGCCTTATGCAACTCTGTCAAGAACCACATCCAACTCTCATCATTTTCCACATCAACAATACCAAATGCAAGCGGAAACAACCCTCCATCAGCATCAAAAGAAGTTGCCGAAAGCAAAGTACCGAGGTATTTGCTCTTAAGCTGGATTCCACCAAGCCCGATAATGGGCAAGCAACCATTCAGGAATCCATATATGGACGCATAAAACGAAACGAAGAGCCGCTGGAACCGGTTATCTATGCCAGTAGTAAAAATCTCTGCCATACTTCCAGGGTTGGATTTCTTTAGTTGCTCACAATAAGAAGGAAGCAGGAAATACCCTTCTTCAGAAGATCCATAAATTGCAGCAAGGCCCCGTTCTTTTGCACGCCAAGCTTGCTTGTAGGGTATTGTGATCCCATACTGTTTTTGTATGTCTTGCAATATATCCTTAGGTTTGTAGTTAATGTTATCCCTTAAGCGTTCCTCAATAAAACTGACAATCCAATCCACAGAAGCTTGATGATGCCCATTGTGTGCATTTCTACCACAAGTATGATTTCCTTCAAGGCTTCGTATTGTAAAGGTTGGGGAATTGGGAAGCTTCACGGCACGAATTCTCCATGGACAACCATCCGTGGCGCACTTGGCAAAGTATCGAATAAGATCGCTTTTGATTATACGAAGCTCAAAGTGTTGCGCAATTGCAGCTTCTTTTATCGCGTTTCGGAAGGCCTTAACATCAGGGAACTCCTGGCCAACGACAAATGTATAGTCTGCCATGACAACACTCAGAAAGCTTACTCCTTCAATGCATTGCTTGACAATTCCAATCTTTGTGCTTCCAAGAAGCAAAGAAATCCTTTTACAAAAACCGCATCTCCAAAGTGCGGACGGATCCGACTGTAAACTTCCTAAAGACGATTCTCATCACCAAACTCTCTGCAAGAAACTGACAGATCTCATTCAAATTCAAGTAAACTACAATGGAAAATTTGAGTTTTATCACAAAAAAAAAAGCCCAACTAGCCAATTATATTTTTCTGTTCGAGGGTCTAGGACCATTTGCTTCTATTATTTTTCCGCTTTCTAAAATATAAATTCAAAAAATAAATTTTCCACAAATTTCATCATGCCCTGTTTTCAATTCACAAGTACCAGAAAATGACAGAAAGCATCGTACCGTACTTAAGTTGCTCTATGCCGCTTTTATGCAACAACAACAACAACAACAACAACAACAACAACAACAACAACAACAACAAAAAAAAAAAAACTTGAATCTTAAGACTGCACCAATAACTTTCCTCCCAAAATCCCCCAACCATGGAAGGGAAAATAACACAAAATAAAAGCCCTTTTTAGCAACGATTTTTAATTTATTTACTAGCTCATATTCTAGTTTCAGCTCAAAAGAGAAAAAGAAGAAAACCAATTTATTCACGCATCCAAAACAAAATGAAATTATGCGAAAAATTGAGTGTAAAAACCAGAACTTTACTACTTGTGTTAATCTAAAGTTCGCATCTTTAAACGGAGCTGATTCGTGAAAAAAAAAAAAGTAGGAACAAATGGAAATTAAAAAAAAAAAAAAAAAAAAAAAAAAAACCCTTACAGACCTTGAAAATTTGGAGAAGAGAGTGAGTGATCAGAGGTTGAGAGGGTAGATCGAACCAGTAGGTGGGCAGTTTGAACGTCGGAAGATGGGGGAGAGAGAGAACATTATTGGTATTCTGGCCAAAGATTAGGGTTCAATAGGTCACTTCAAGGGGGTAATTCCGTCATGTCATCTTTTAGTTGAGGTTTTTTTTGTCAATAAGTGTGAAAAGTCTCCACTTCAGTTCGAAGGCTTACGTCGTTGGTTTATGTAAGTATGAAGATTTTTTTTTTTATCTTGCCCTTTTTTGTTTTAGACTTCCACCGCTTTACTGCGGTAGGATGTTGAATTTAATTAAAATTATATTAAATTAAAAATACAAGTAGAATAAATAATTTTTAATATATATATAATGATTAAAAAATAAAAAATTATTCATAATTCATTTTTTTGTCTTTTTAACTTTTTTTTTTTGTTTTTTTTCCTTTGCTGCTTCTTGGATAAGAAGATTAACTGCCTAACTCTTTGTTCAGTCCAGAAAACGACATGTCATTCCTTTACATGAATTTCCTATCGTTTATTCAAGATTAAGCCGCCTTTGAGACTTGAAACGATATGTCGTGTAAACTTGTAATCGTGCTAGAAAAATAAAAATTGGGAAAGAAGTTTTGTTTATATTTAAATTATTCCGTCTTTTCTAATGATGAAATGGTTTATGTTTTAATCCAGGCCAGAGTTTGAAAGGAAACCATATATCCTTTTTTTTATTATTATTTTTAAGTTTGTCATCGCTTAATTTGAGAAAACGAGGGGTCCGTTTAGTTCGTTAATTTGAGTTTTTAATTCGAGTTGAGATGTGATTTTATGTGAGAGTTTTTTACTGTAGTAAAAAAATTAGATGTGATTATTTGTGAGAACTTTTTACTGTAATAAAACTCGAATTCTAAACTCGAATCAACGAAATGAAAAGGGCCGAAATATTGCTTGAATTGAACACTATAACACAAATAACATGAGAGACAATATATGAGAAAAAAAAATAAAAAAATAATAGAATGTTTGTTTATCTTATCAGGATTTTCTCCTGAATATTTTTTGTTTACATTTCTTTAGTGAATAGGAGGAGCTCTGTAGTATGCTGGAATAGTGATTGGAAAGAGCATCTGTGTAATTCCATCACCCTTTTATCATGGGGAATATAATACCTGATGCACCCTGTAACACATAATTTAACAACATAAGCAACATTTTTATAACTCGAAATACATGAAATCACTTGATTAGTAGTTACGAAAAACTTTTAAGTACCGTAATCAATCTGGCACAAACACAATTAGACCATTAAAATTGGGTCGGAAGAGAATTAGACGGATAATTTTGACAGAGGATTTGCGTTGCTTACTTTGCGTAGCGTGTAGAAGCACTCAAGGTATCTGCAAAGTGCGGATGCATCATTGAGATCATAGAGAGGTCTGAGAATATCCCTCAGAAGTAGTGGCGAAGTCAGCCTTTCATTTCAATGAGGGCAGGGCGTACATTAAATTTTTTTTAACTAATTATTTTAGTGGAAGCATATAAAAAATATATTTATTTTAATGGGGGCATATATTATTTCAGTGGGAATTTAAGTATAAGATTTTAAAACTTTTAAAGGTAATATTTTTTTAAAAAAAATTTAAGTGATAGCGGTAGTTCTCACTGAACTGTACTTAAATCTGTTACTGTTTAAAAAAATGATGTCGGAAAGAGCGACGGTCATTCTTGCACCGGTCAAAAGATGGCACATGTTGAGCGCGTCTCCCAACATTAGTGCACCTGGAGTTGGATAAGGAGCTGAAGGCATGATTCTATTTGGCATTTTCCTCATGTTTCCTTTGTCTGTTGCAGCTATGAAGGCAGAGTATGGCTCTCGTGGAACCTAAGTTCACATTAGAAGTGTTCAAATCAATTCACTTCAAGTATCTTCTAGAGGAAATACGTTGAAAAACTACGATATAATAATGTGTGATTAGACGCTATTTTATTAGTACACGGTCTTTAAATTTTAGATAATGTGTCATTTCTCCGCTGGTCACAAAAGGTACATTCTGCCCAGGAACATCGACGAGGCAACGAACCTCGGTGCTGCTAATGGGGTAAAACAGGATGGGAGCAGGATCTGCTACAATCATATTAGCCGGGAAAAGAGAAACAAGATTTCGTTTTATTTCACTATATGCCGTCCTTTTGTGTAATTAACGCCATTGCATTTATTGTTTGTTGCCTTTTTGTAGGAAAATTCTTTAGGCCTGTCTAATTTACGCGTTCAAGTCTGATTTACTGTGAGAATTTTGTAAAAGAATCATTGATGAGAAATTTTTAAATCTAAGTTTATGTCGCATAACTTGAAACGGCATGTGTTTCATGTTTAGAATCTTTCATCTTTATAGGTTAAATGAATTTTTTTGCTGAAATGGTTAAATGACATCTAGAATTTTTCTTGTTTGTCTCATTACCATGTCGTTTCGACTATGAGCTGTTTCAGAACTCCAAAAAATTATTGTTTTTCATAGGCGGGAAGTGAGACTTAGGTCCGTTTAGTTAATTGATTTTAGTTTTTAATTCGAGTTGAAATGTGACTTTATGTGAGAGCTTTTTATTATAGCAAAAAAGTTAGATGTGACTGTTTCTTAGAGTTTTTTACTGTAACAAAACTCAAATTGGTAAAATAAAATGTACATGTAAGCTCAAAACCATTAAAAGACCATTTTTATGTGTTAAAAAAAGAAAAAGATAAATAAGATATGTTCCAAAAGAAGTAGAAGTAGAGGATATAGCATACATTTATTCTAAGTAATGATAATTATAATAACTTTGTAAAGGTATAACTGGAAAGAATTTTCTTTTAGACACCAATATTATACATTTCCAAAATCAATAGTAAATATCATATACGTAATAGGAGATCATACAAAAGTGCCCAAAGAAAGGGACTTTCTTTGTGCCTATGAACTCTCATACACTATGATGATTTGCTTATGATCAAAACGTCAAGTGATTAAAAATAGAAGATAGTCACCCTCTCGAGACAAAAGCAGGGAGGAACCGGCAAGACTGGCACCGATGACGAAGACGTCAGTGTTTTCACTTTGCCATCTCTGACTGGCATTTTCCATTTTGCAGAGAATTATTCAACCAAACACTCTCTCTTTGGATCGATCTTCTTGAACTATCACGATGTTTGGTAGATGGATTCGTTCTCTGATTCGAATCATGATTCGTAGTTCGCTACAGTATTTTCTCTCACAAAAAATACACGTAAATAAAAAATAATTCTAATCACATGGTTCTAATCCATGAACCAAACGGATAGTTTCTTTCCACTACTTAGTCATGTGGTGTAACATTTTTGGCGCCTTTAGGTAAGTTCAAGAACCGTTTGGATTTGGAATTTTTCATGGCAAAATCGGTGATCCCATCACTATCATTAATCATGCAAAAAAAAAAAAATTAAATTACAATTTTAACAAATTTAATTATAATTGATGGTTCATAACCGATTTTTATTTATTTATTGTTTTGGCTGAACATCTAGGTGGCTGGTTAGCTAATCGCATTAACTAGCATGACAACTGATATGATCAATTAGCCCAAAAAAAAAAAAAAAAAAAAAACCTAATGTTGATGAGATTCATGAAAAGAAAAAGATAGTAGTTTTTTTTAGTAAATTTTGTTAGAGAATTAGCCTGGAGTAGCTCTCCAAATAAGAATGAATTAATTCATCAGGGAAGGTCAAGGTGTTAGTGTTAGTGGAGATAAGCTACATTATTTAGTGGGGAAATTATCAGAATTCCAACAAAGTCAAAAAAATATTTTCAAGGTTTTTCAAAAAAACTATGGGTGATAAACAGGGGGTGACAAAGTAGTTGCGTAAATTATCAAATATAATTATTAGACAGAATTATTAAACACAACAAGGCTTTCTATTTACAACATATCTTCATGTGTTGACATAATAAACCATTATATACACAAAAAGTTTAGGCCAAAAAAATGGCAAAGGGAGTGATGCACAATCAAAGCCATATTTTATATACTTTTTTTTTTTTTTTTTGCTTGGCCTTTCTCTTCTGAGGCCTTTTGTTGACTAATTATTTTTGGGTATAGTCGCAATATCATTTAGGCTGTTTGCGTGATCCTCGATTTAATGTTTTGATGTTGTTTGTAGAAGTCTTCTTCTTTCTTTTTTTTTTTTTTTTTTTTTTTTTGGTTGAATAAGAACTTTTCATACACAACAAAGCTTAAGCAAATATCAGCCTAATCTTAAAGAGAATTGATGGATAAGAAAGAGATATTGATTTTTGGGCCTTTTTTTTATAGAAGTTTTTCTGATAAAATCAGAAAAATAAAACTATCAGTAATTTTTAATTTTTTAATTTTAAAATTTATATTAAAAATTATCTATTTTATATATTATTTTAATTTAATTTAATTTTAACTAAATTAACGATTAAAAAATTAATCTTACTAATAAAACGATCCATCAGAAAAACTCCTAAATACATCAAAAGTTATATGAAGCTTATGTCCCCAAAAGGGCCACAAGCAAAATAAATAAAAAATAAAAAAAGATTAGAACTACAAAAGTTTTTCTTTTTTACCTCCCGCGTTTTACACAAAACACCAAATTTAAAGTACGGCGCTTTAAGAAAAAGACCTTTTCATGAAAAAGGCAAAAAAAGTTAATCATGTCATATTCATTCAAAAAAAAAAAAGAAAAGAAAAGAAAAGTTAAATCATGTCTCCACTTTGACATTATAAGCAAAGACTGGCGTATATATACCCATTCCACAAGTTCGACTATGACATTTATGACCTTACATTATAATTTTTAACTTTGGTAGGCCTTTCACACCACAGTGGTCTACATTGAGCACCAATCATTCACTTTTAAAATCTAATTATTCACTTATACCCCTTTGATACCAAAATTAAAAAAAAAAAATTATATTAACAAATAGTATATTTGATTTTCAACTCTCTAAAAGTAGTATCCTTCTAATTAACCCAATTAATGTGTCCTTAATAGTTTAAGAAATCAAAAACTATCTGTATACATTTCAATCATGTCAAAAATCAATGACTTCATTTGGTATAAGAAAGCAAGTTTGCAAAAACAACAAATCATGGTAGTTAATACCACAGTCCACTGACTCTGCATTTTCAATTGGTAGGAGTCCCCATAATTTTAGTAATTATAGTACTAATTTTAGTACAGAGTTGTGTAAAAAAGTAAAATTCATATAGCCGACCTTAATTAATTAGGATTAAGGCTTGTTGTTGTAGTAATACTAATTTTAGTAGGGTATATATGGGATGAAATATGCTTGAAGTGAACAGTCAGTTTTAATACAAATAACACGAATAATACAATTTCTACTCTCTTTTAGGTGCTCATTACAAACCTCGAGGGAAATCTTTTTCCCAATTAAAAGGCAAGACATGCAAAAACTCAAAAAAAAAAAAATAATAATAATAACAATTGAATGTTTGTTTATCTTGTCAGGTTTTTTTGTCCTGAATTTTTTGTTTACATTTCCTTAGTGAATAGGAGGGGCTCTATAGTATGCTGGAACAGTGGCAGGAAAGAACATCTGTCTAACTCCCTCACCCATTATGATGGGAAATATGATACCTGATGCACCCTGTAACACAAAAATTAACAAACATAAGTAACATTTTAACAATTTGAAATACATGAAATCACTTGATTAGTAGTTGTGAAAATTTTTAAGTACCGAAATCACTCTGCCGCCGATCCACACGCGTTTAGGCGAGGGAAACGGAAGCAGCAAGCGTCCAACACCGTAGACAGCCACCGCGAAGAAATGGAGAACCAAGCTCAAAGGATGAGGGTTGAGGCCAGAGAGCAGAGCCACCGGTCCGCTTGAGAAAATGCCTCCAAGACTCAAATAGTCGAAACATGCTTGGCGCATTTCCTCCCTTGCTGTGTCGGGTGATGCGCAGAACACCTTGTAGAGTGCACCTGCCAATGTGTTTATGGTTGATGCCATTGGCTGCAAACACAGTTACAGTGTTAAAATTGCCTCAAAGAGAATTAGACAGAGAAAATTTGATAAGAGGGTTTGCGCCTTTATTGCTTACCTTACGTAGCGTGTAGAAGGACTCGAGGTATCTGCAGAGAGTGGATGCATCATGGAGATCATATAGAGGCCTGAGAAGATCCCTCAGAAGAACGATGTCGGAAAGAGCGACAGTCATTCCTCCACCGGTCAAAGGATGGCGCATGTTGAACGCGTCTCCCATCAGCAGTGCACCGGGAGTTGGATAAGGAGCTGCAGGCATGCTTCTGTTTGGCATTGTCCTGATGTTCCCTTTGTCTATTGCAGCTATAAAAGCAGAGTACAACTCTGGTGGAATCTAAATTCGTAGCAAAAGTGTTTGAATCAGCTCAATTCTGTTGATAAACTATCATATGACATAGTGTGATTAGACGCAGTTTTTTTAGTACCTGAGGAGCGACCATGGTCTTCAGATAATGCGCCATTTCGCCGCTGGCCACAGAGGGCACTTTTTGGCCAGGAACATCAACCAGACAACGCAACTCGGTGCTACTAATGGGGTAAAACAGGATGGGTGAAGGGTCTGCCAAAATTACATGGCCATGATTGGCAAATGGAAGATCACAGTTTTCCAACACCAAACCAACAAAACAGGATGGATTATCAACCTGCAACAAACATATTGATCATTATATTTCATCTCAGACATTAAGATAGATACAAATCAGCAAGTTCATCATTTTTTTTCCCGGTTACCTTCGGATCGCAGAGAGAACGACGGAGATTTGAGAAACAGCCATCACATACTATTGTTAAGGGAGCTTCTGATGTCAACTCTTCACCAGCCTTGGTTTTGTAGTGAACCCCTTTAACAGTCCCTTTCTCTTCAATTAGAGATGTCACTGTTCCTTGTTCCAATCTCACACTGCAAAACAGAACCATAAGATAATTAAAACAAGAAAAACTTTTCTTTGAACATTTGCAAGAAATGAAAAAAGGCCTCAATAATTACAGGAAAAAAAACTTTTTTTTTTTATGGAAAAAGTTGAGAGGGAAATTAAGAATACTTTGGAAGAGAAGCAGCTTTTTCCCTCATCTTTTGTATGAAACGCCCATTGTGAAAGCTTCTGCCAGCTACATCTGAACTGAACTTTTCCAAAGGATAAGAAAGTTTGGTGCTTTTCCCATTTTTGTAAATAGCATAGCCAAAAACTCTCTGGGCATCAATCTTTTCAACACAATCTGAACCCAAAAAACAAAAACAAATGCTTTAAACAATAAAGTCACAATTCCTAAGATTCATATATAATGGAATTTAATATTTTCTATACGTAAAAATTAGATTACCTTGTAGACCCAACTCAATCAATTTGAGATAGCCACCTGGTTGCAAAAGCTCACCAACAATTCTGTCAGGCTCATTCAAGTCCCTTTCAATCACGTGAACTCTGCGTCCATCCTGCAACAAGAACACACCAAACAAAGCTTTTATAACTCTGTGAAGAAAAAAAAAATATTAAAATTTGAAGGAAAAGAAAAGTATGCCTTCGAATAATGAACGATGAAGATGGACAAGAAGAAACTTTGATCACCTTGCCAAGGGTGTAAGCAAGAGCTGCACCGGCGACTCCGGCGCCGACGATGACTATATCCGTCCTCTTTTCGATATCTGACCGGAATATGCCGTTTGAATACGACATCTTTACAAATCCATTGGCTGTGCTGGTTGCAGTCTTCTTTCCTCGGTAACTACAGTAGAAAAACAACCCCAGCAAAGAATAAGCTATGAATCCGCCTAACAAATACGCGTAAACCATTTTGGCAAAGATTATTATTGATCCTCTTGAATCTTGATCAGCTAAACAAAATTCAATTTCTTCTTCTTTCTTTTTCCTGTCTCAATTCTCTCTTTTTTTCCCGAAGTAGTTGTTTACGTGCAAGTTATGGTATGTCCAATAAGTTGTCAGGCCTTTTTATAGAGTTGGACAATCTCTAGACGACTTGGTTCGTTTGTGATGCATTATTCATTTTTATTATTAAAACGTGGAAGTGAATTCTCAACCAACTTCTTCTTTTTCTTTTTTTTTTTCTCCTTTTTTTTTTTTTAAAAAAAAAGGGTTTTGTTTGGATGTACGAAAGTGCTACATGAGAACATTCATGCATCTTTTACCATTAAAATGAAATTGGTAATTAGATGTGATGGATCAAAGGGCAAAATGGGGTCCACAGATGACAATTTATGTGTGACTTGCAACTACTATATGTTCGTATCATTTTAATATGACAATTTAGGGGTGTTGGGGGATACATGTATGTTTCTCATTAATTTTTCTGTTAAAAAAATCTTAATTGTGAAATTTTTACACTTTCATATCAAGTAGAAAGGTAATAATTTTTTTTTTCAACGGCTTATATTATTATTAATTTTTTCACGACTTAATGACTAAGAAAATAAGATGTACGTACATTTCAAAACATTAAAAGATAATAGGATGTGTTGTTATTCTACCGGCTTATATTAACATTAAATGAACTTATAATGACCCGTTTAGTTCGTTGATTCGAGTTTTTAATTCGAGTTGAGATGTGACGTTATGTGAGAACTTTTTACTGTAATAAAAATGTTAAATGTGACTGTTTCTGAGAGCTTTTTACTGTAACAAAACTCAAATCGGTAAAATGAACGAAAATTTGTGTTCATATATGTAGTCAAACAGTTGCGCAGTTTCGCACTAGCAGAACTTTCCCAAGTTGGACTAAATTAAGAGGAGTGATTTCGTGATGCACGTAAAGCTATTATCGTACTTAATACGTCTGATAGATTTAAATCATTTTTAACGTTCTGTTAATTATGGAAATCAGACAGTGATCATGATTTGATAAATAAAGAAAAATAAATAAAATTGCAAAAGAAACATTTCTATAGTCCAACGGAAGTTGGGTAAACAGATCATAGAACAACTCTAGTGGATCACAACGTACGTCTGGGCTTTAATTAATTAAAAATTGGCATGCATAAAACTACAACAAAAGCCGGTAAAGCAAAATTATCCCCCCAAAAAAAAAAAAAAAGGCCGGTAAAGCCTGGTCAATTCAACAGTCTGGATCCTTGGAGGAGTGCTTTGTCAATAACACTCGTTACTAAAGCACTATATATAATATGATTTCTTGACTTAAAAGGGTACCTGATTATTTATTTATTTATTTTTTACTTTTTCATATTTTAATTTTCCAGCTTTTTTTTTTCTTTCTTTAACTTGGAATCCTCCGTTTTTTTATATATGCTCACTAGACTTAAATCACAAGTCTAGTTTTAATATCTAAAATGATATCTAACTGATCATATCATGTCACGTCACGTTATTTAATAATTTAAAATGTTCTTTACTTCACTTTATCATGTTTGTAATTGGTTAGACATCATTTTAGATCTCGTTCATTTCACAAATTTAAGTTTTTAGTTCTAAATTTTTATAATTAAAAGCTCTCAGAAAATATCACATCTAACTTTTTTTACTACAGTTAAAAGTTGTCTCTCTCTCTCTACACTAAAGTATCTCATTATGAGATAAATAATAACACAATACAACATTTTGAGGAGACTTACTGTAGAAGATTCTAGAGATCTTTTCATCCGTCACTGGGTGGAAGATAGCAACAAAAAAGTGCGTGTTTAGAATTATTTTTGAAAACGATTTTTACATATTTTGACACATCTCAATTTAAATTGAAAATTAAAATTTATAAAGTGAACGAGGCCTTAGATGTTGAAAAATAGACAAATTATATGAATCCTTCTAACGCTAACCTAGATATGCATCACTTGATTAGGTGTCGATTGCAATCACAATTACCTTTCAAGTAGGTAAGGATATCTGAAATTAATTGTTAAAATATTAATAGTTGGTTTCATTAAATGTTTGGTTAACAAATACAAGTTGTTAATTAATGAAATGCCACACACACCCATGCCTTGACTAGGGGTGATATCTAGTTTGTTTTTTCTTTAGAAAATCGCAGAATCCACAATCTTCTGAATTAATGGCGGGACATATGGCAAGAAAGCAAGAAAAAAAGATTTAAGAAAACTTCTTAATTAATTGGTCAAATGAAACTAGCAAACAAACCTCAAGTTCATTCATCCAACTAGGAAACGAGATAACTTTCTTATTTTCCAAGAAAGCCTCAAGAGAAAAAAGATTTTGGCTTGATTAGGGAAGCTGGTAATTAATACGCGTAAATGAATGGATGAAGTTTGACCACGTATTTACGTGTGTTTCTCGCACATTTAAGTAGACTATGATATATACCAAACATTGTGTGGCCTTCACTATTTACACTACTTTATGGCGACAAGATCTTTTTCCCAACAATCATGCATAAAGCAAAATAAGGGACATGCCTAGATCTTGATTATAAAATAAGTAAATTAATTCGATTTGTCATGTAACATTTTTTTTTTTTGAAATATTTTCATTTAACATTTTGCTTCATATAGAAGATGCAAAATTCTTAGCAGTATAAGTTACCAGCTTGTAGCATTAAAAGAAAAAAAAAAAAATTTCCAGTCACTTCAAATTAAGAGACATTTCTATTCCTCGTTCACTTCGCTGATTCGAGTTTAAAATTCGAGTTGAGATGTGATTTTATGTGAGAGCTTTTTACTATAGCAAAAAAGTTAGATGTGATTGTTTGTGAGAGCTTTTTACTGTAGAAAAACTCGAATTCTAAACTCGAATCAACGAAGTGAACGGGCCTTAGTAATCTAAGCAAATTTAAACGAAAAAAGAACGTAGTTTATTGTTTCAGGCATACAGATAGTATTATACTTTTCTGCTTTAAAAGTATTTGACTACTGATAAAAATTAATGGGATGTTTAGTTCATGGGTTTAGAATTATAATTCATGATTTTAATTTTTAAAATTTAAATTTTTTGTGAGAGAAAAACACTGTAGAAAATTAAGAACTATAATTCAGAATTAGAGACGAACCCTTAAAACAAACATCCCACAAATCACTTAACTAAATCATGCCTAAATAAATTCATTTTTAAAAAAAAAAAATGGTGCTCACTCTAGACGAGCTAGTTGTCTAACTGGACAAGTTAGGCCTAAAATTATAGGTAAATTTAAATATTTGTCTAAATACCTATTACTTATCTCATGATTGTTTAACCATTGCATTTGCCATGATTTGTAAAGTTTTAAAATTTGAGAATTAAAATGGGATAAAAAGCATAGTTTCGACGACAAAATTCAAATTAATCTTGATAATTAAGATGTTGAAGTCTGTTGTAGGTAGATTTATAGTTATAAGTAGTTTTTTTATATTTTCATTGTATTTTGTTATAGTTTATTAAGTCAATTTTTTTATTAGTTTGTCGTTTGTCCTAATCAGTGGATATTTTGCTATTGTTTTGCTAGTTGGTTATGTAAATAATTATTGGGTAAGTGACTCAAATTAGTTTTGGAAAAATAACAATTTTGTGTTTTTGGGTAAGTTACTATTTTCTGGTTTTAGATAAAGGTTATTAGGAGTCTATAAATAAGTGCTTTGCGTAAGGCTTTATGGGTGCTTAGAGAAAAAGAGTGTCGCCTTTTAAGAGAAAAAGAGAAAAGTGAGGAGAGAGATAGGCAATAGAGAGAAAGTGAGAAAGTTTGTTGAGTGTGTAATTTTGAAATTATTAGTGAATTTTCCCCCTTTCCCGTGGATGTAGAAATTTTTTTCAAACCACTTAAATATTTGTCTTCTCTATTTTTCTGTTATTTTTGTTTCAGATTATTTTTCTACTGCACGGGTATAAAGGTATGTTTTTCCCAATAACTGGTATCAGAGCTGTGGTGAAGATTAAAAAAAAAGTCAAGATGATGTCCGGGATAAAGTTTGAGCAGATTGAGCGGTTTGATGGAAAGAGTAATTTCAACATCTGATAGAGTACGGTCAAATATGTTCTGATTCAACAGGGATTACTAAAAGCGTCGCAAGTAAAAAAGTCAGAAAATATGAAAGATGCAGATTGTGAAGAATTAGACGCGAAAATGGTAAGTATTATTCGTTTAAGTTTGGCTCCTGAACTGAAATATAGTGTTATGAATAAGACATCTCTTTTTGAGTTATGAAAAAAATTAGAAAACGTTTATATGTCAAAATCCCTAACAAATAGAATATATTTGAAGAAGCAATTGTTTGAGTTGAAGATGGATGAGAAAAGTGATGTTAGGGATCATGTAACTAATTTTAATAAGTGTATAACTCAATTATTAAGTGTAGCGATAAAGTGGTAATTTTATTGGCCTCCCTACCAAAACCATATGAAACTTTAGTGACTACACTGTTAGTTGGAAAGAAGATGTTGATTGTAGATGAGGTGTCGACTGCTCTGTTAGAGACTGTAAATATGAAGAAGTCAAGTAGTACGTCTCATACCGAACAAGTTTTAGTGGCTAAGTCAGATTTAAATAGGGGTAGGAGTAAGTCACGAGGGAGATGTTATGATAAGAGAGATGATCGTTTCCAATTCTGACCAAAGAAGGATATTGAGTGGTACTATTGTTATAAGAAAGGGCATATTAAGAGAAGCTGTGAAGAACTGACAAAACACCTTGAAGAAAAGAGAAAGCAAGAAACCCAGGAGACTTTAGATTCTACAAATGTTGTTGGCGACGAGTATGATAGTGAAGATGATGTTTATTCTATTATTGTTGATGAGAATATTTCTGAATCTTGGATCTTGGATTATGGATGCTCATTTCATATGTGTCCATATAAGGAGTGGTTTGATTCTTATAAGTCTTGTGATGCTGGTACTTTGTTGATGGCTAATGATTCTAGTGCTAAAGCTGTTGGAATAGGTACTGTTAAGGTGAAGATGTTTAATAGGACATTGACAAATGTTAGGTATGTTCTTCAACTAAGGAGAAGTTTGATTTCTTTGGGAG